AGAGATTTCCAGCAGCCACAAGAAATAAAGAAGATGAAGTGGGTGTAGTTGGTGAACTAATTTTCAATTGCATTGGTGTGTTAGGTGAAGTAGGTGTGCTTGGTGATGAAACTTTTCCATCTATAGCACACACCTACTTCACCTAAGACACTAATGCAATTGAAAATTAGTTCACCAACAACACCCACTTCATCTTCTATATTTCTTATGACTGCTAGAAATCAATACTTAAATCAACTCACCTAACTTCCCCACCATTAGAAATCACCTCATGCTTAGGTCAGAATGACCAAGCACACTTAGCTCATCCTTAGGTCAACATGACTAGAAACTTCATAGGCTTACAAATTGGGTTTCCCTTAGGCAAATGAAGCCTTTGAGCCCTCCATCTTGAAGTTCAGATTATCATCTTTCTAACCATATGTCATTTGGGCTAATCCAAGGTCGGAGGACGAAGTTAAGGATGAAACAAATTGCTAACTCATTTGGTAGTGCACACAAAATGTATCCTAAGCATGGTTCTGTTTTTTATGGGTGACCGACTCCATATTTATCCAATGAGACTGCATTTTGGATATGTTATAATAGACACCCATTGGAACAACTTCCATGAAGGATGTTGCCTCATCCGAGCTGTGTAGGTTGCTGAAATAGGGCATGAAATGTGACCTAGGAAACTGGACTGATAAGGGAGTGTAGCCTAAATTGGTTTTGTCTTTAAGCTCTTCTTCCGTTCATCCAAATCAGGCCTTAACATGCTTAAATTGCATGAATTATGCTCTCTTGCTGTATTGACTTACAAAACACATAAAGAGAGGTAAATGACTCATAATTGTAAGAAACTAAGCAAAAAGACTAAGTAAATAAGGCATGCATATATATATGAAATTATGTGCTTAACACAATCTTTCAAAACTACTCTTTTTGTGACTCTCAACTCTCCTTCTCTTTGTGTACAATGTGATGGAATATGAATGAATAATGAATCCTTCCCCCTTCAGCTCTTTGGAGACTCTCTATTTATAGGCACAAGAGTTAAGTGAAATCAGATTATACAATTGAGTCCACCAAGCACACCTACTTCACCTAACATACCAATGCAATTGAAAATTAGTTCACCAACAACACCCACTTCATCTTCTTTATTTCTTATGGCTGCTGGAAATTTCCACTTGAATCAGCTCACTTAACTTCCCCACCACCAGAAATCACCTTATGCTTAGGTCAGGACCAAGCACACTTAGTTCATCCTTAGGTCAGCATGACCAGCAACTTCATGGGTCTACATATTGGGTTTCCCTTAAGCAAATGAAGCCTTTGAGCCCTCCATCTTGAAGTTCAGAATGTCATCTTTCTAACCATATGTCATTTGGGTCAATCCAAGGTCGAAGGAAGAAGTTAAGGCCGAAACAAATTGCGAACTCATTTGGCAGCGCACACAAAATTCATCCTGAGCATGATTCTGTGTTTGATGGTTGATGGACTCCATATTTATCTAATGGGGCTGAATTTTGGATATGTTATAATAGACACCCATTGGAACAATTTCCATGAAGGATGTTGCCTCATCCGAGCTGTGTAGTTTGCCGAAATAGGGCCTACAATGTGACCTACGAAACTGGACTGACAAGGGAGTGTAGCCCAAATTGGTTTTTTCTTTAAGCTCTTCTTCCATTCATCCAAATCAGGCCTTAACATGCTCGAATTGCATGAATTATGCTCTCTTGATCTATTGATCTACAAAACACACAAAGAGAGGTGAATGACTCAAAATTGTAAGAAACTAAGCCAAAAGACTAAGTAAATAAGGCATGTATATATGTATGAAATTATGAGCTTAATAGAGCTTTATACACATTCCAAGGAAGACACGAAAAAACACATATAGAGGTAGTTGTTGTAACCTAACGGAGAGGCTAGATCCAAAATGAAGAAAAGGCAAAAAGAAGAGGAGATGTGAAGGAAGAAGTAAATCTCGTTGTATAGGGTATTTGGCGAAGAACAAGGGACACAAAATCGGTGTGTGAGACATTAAATCTCATAACTGAGCCTAAGGCTCAAGCAGTCACCACCGGAGGGAGAAGCAAACAAACTCTCAAAAAAAGCCACATGCACAGCCAAAACAGGCTCAAACCAAAGGTATGTCCAGTCCCATTAAAAGAAACCAAGACATGGGAGATAAGGAGGTAGCAGCACGAAAGAGAATGAGGGGGGATGAGGGACAAACTAATAGGACCCACCCCGGATTCCTCGGAACCCGGGACGAATCCCGGGGTATAACAATTTGGTATTATAGCCACTCTGCCGTGTGGTGCGAGTGTGCCGACGAGGACGTCGGGCCCCTAAGATGGGTGTATTGTAACATCCCACATCAACTAACGGAGAGGGGGTAATGTGCCTTATATATACATGCGCACCTTCATCTAGCACAAGGCCTTTTGGGAGCTCACTGGCTTCGAAGTCATAGAAATTCCGAAGTTAAGTGAGTTGTGGCTAGAACAATTCCAAGATGGGTGACCCGCTGGGAAGTTGCTCGTGAGTTCCCAGAAACAAAACCGTAAGGGCAGAGAGGTGACCCAAAGCGAACAATATCGTGTTATGGCGGAGTCAGTTTGGGATGTGACACAAACCTCCTCCTCCCCAAACAGGGCAGTGCGGCTCTTGGAAGAAAATAGGAAGGCCTTAGGGTTTTAGAGAGAGATAAAGTTAAGGGTGTGCACTTGAAGTGATAATGTACTATATTTAGGTTTTTTTTTTTTTTTTTTTTTTTTTTTTTTTTTTTTTTTTTGATAGTAAGTGATGATCTTGAACATGTATGTGTTATGATGATTTTTTAAGATTTGTTAAAAGTAAAGCTCGCACTTTTCAAAAAAAATTTAATAATAAAAAACCCGTTTGCCGCTAAGTGCAGCACTTCATTGAACAAAGTACAGTGTTCATCCTTTTGTTTATACACAAGGAGACAAGCAAATGGTTAAAAACAAGGGTAAACTACAGTAAACCCCCTAACTTATAGGGTCATTTACGAGTGCATACCCGATTTTGGAGACATTTATAAATACATACTCAACGTTGCGGAAAACCTACAATTTGTCATCTCCGTTAGCCAAACTGTTAGTCAGTCTGTTAAATGCTGACATGTCAAAAATAGGACCCCATTTTTTGATGAAGTGGACTTCCACATGGACCAAAAATTAATTAAAAAAATTATTTTACTGTTTAAATTATTTAAAAAAATCTCTCTCTCTCTCTCTCTCTCTCTCTCTGTGACAACCCAGACCAAAACACTCTCTCTCTCTCCTCGGCTTCGGGCTGCATCATCTTCTCTAATCCAGCCTAACCTCCAAACCACCACCACCCCCCGGCGATCTAGACCACCAAACCCACAAGCCTTCGATCTAGAAAACTGGCAGTCGCTTCCATGCCTGGTTCGAGACTTTCCTGATATCCCCAAGCGACACTGCCAGCATTGTCATAACGACAAGCCTCCAATCTGCACAAACCGACTAAGACGATGCAACCCGAAGTCGAAGAGATTGCCGACGCGCCTATAGCGATTCCATCAAATCTACCACCGATGCTTTTGTCTAGTTTTTCAGAGAAAAATATGATTTGGGAAGTGAAAGTCGTCAAGAAAAACAAAATGGGTGCTTTGAAAAAACCGTAAAGATTTTGTCCAATTCTTGCCCAAAATCTTCTAGTTCTTCCTTATGTTTTGCTCTTTACTCTATTTACACCGTTGATTTCTCTTTGATCACCATGACCTTGTGACTCCATGACCTATATTCAAAACCCAAATCCCAAATTTCTCAGTTGGGTAATGGTTCTGGGTTCCAATATTGATTCTTGAAGTCCAAATCTCACTTTTACGTCCAAAAACAAAGCTCTGTAAAGAAATATTCCTCACACCAAAAAATATGAACCTGGCCTATTCTCTCTTTCATATATTAAGTATCCCAAGCCATTTTTCTTCTTTTATGGACAAGCTTTGTTACGGACAGCTTTCTGGAGAAGAAGGATGAGCTTTCTGGACAGCTTTTGGAGAAGTTGAGGTGAGTTGGGAGGGAGAAGGAGAGAGAAAGAGAGTTGGGTTTGGGGGTAGGGGTGGGGGTGGGCGACGGGAGAGGGGTGGCTGAGAGGTGGGGTTGAGTCGGGAGGGGGAGAGGGTTTGGCTAGGTAGAGAAGAGAGATGATTTTTTTTTCTTTATTTTTTAATGATTTTAATATGATTTAAAAATCATTTTTAATATATACATAATTTTTTATTATTTATTTGTCCACCTGTAAGTCCACGTCAATTAAAAAATAGGTCCCACTTTTGCCACATCAGCATTTAACAGATTCACTAACGGTTTTGGCTAACGGAAGGGCCAAATTGTAGGTTTTTCCGCGACGTTGAGTATATACTCGTAAATGTCCTCAAAATCGAGTATGCACTCGTAAATGACCCTATAGGTTGAGGGATTTACTGTAGTTTATCCTAAAAACAATTGCCCATACACTCGAAACTGTGTGTTTTAATCTCCCTCCCTTTATATCGAAAAACAAAGTATTCCTTTTGCTTATGTGGTTTTTGGGCAACGGCCTTGCATGGAAGTGAACATTGGAGACGGGTCTTTTACTCACAAGGTAAGAGAAAAAAGCTTATCATGCGTACATAAGCAATGGGAATAAGAAACAAGGGAATAGGATAAACAAGAAATGAAAATCAGATCAACGACCTCCTCTTAGTTGATATGATTCCTAGTTTTTGGGTATTTAGGATTCTGAGGTGAAAAAGTTATCAAATACAAGGTGAGGCTAAGGTTTGGACACTAGCCAAATTGCAGTCGAAGTAACACAATCCGAACAAACCATACATCACTACGTAGCCAAAATAAGGTTCTATGTTTTACCGAAAAAGGAACGATAAGGTTCTATATCACCAAAATTTGTTTGACGCCAGAAAATTTTGGTTACAGGGGTAGATCAAACTATCACCAAATATACAGGAACAAATTCTAGTCTGCCACTGTTGTTCTAAGAGGCAAAGAACTTTCAACTTCCTTGGTGCCAGAATTCCTCTCAGCAACAATTTTTGACATTCCAAACATCTGAAAATTAAAGCAAAATTATTCGATCAGCAGAAGAAAGCAAACAAATTATACAACGAAAATGTTTTGGGCAGAGCATATTTTAAACTTGAAGTGGTAACAAACCTTCTGCATAGTCTTCTTGAAACAAGTTTTGTGTTCATCCATAGATGCATTGACAAATTCATCGATATGGTCCTTCAAATCCTCCAAGAAGTTGGCATCATCCTTCTTCTTTCTTCGACATGAAGTGATTGGTGGGGTTGCCACAGCAGGCGAGGGCTTGTTTTCATGTTGACTTTGGGGTGATTCCATCCTAAATACCACCTGATACAGAAGTTATTCCTCAAAACACAAAGATACCAACATTTCTTGTTCAATGACACCAATGGCTTTGAATATTGAAAATTAGTTACTTTAAACTACAACATAGGCTTAGCCACAAAAGCCACTACAACAAATTCACCTATTTCATGCACGACAGGAGATTAATGCAGGAAATCAACATATCCCCCACTTCTTAATGCTAAAAAATACACCACAAATGAAATAAACAATTACATGAAGAAGCATGAACAAATTATGAAATGACTATAAACAAGGTTTTTATAAAGAAAATTCATTCAAGATCATTTTATATGCAACTTGACAGAACCATATAAAGACAATTTGACATACTATCTTGATGTTCTAACACAGAAAATTGGCAAATATACTGATGTCTTTTGGTTTCACAGAACCAGACTAGTAGGAGTAGTCCACAGCTTTAGATCTCAGCTAAGCTGGTTTGCTTCCCTCCACCTGACATGATGGCATTGCGACACCAGACGAGCGAGCTACAACACTTGCACTATGCTTTCTTTGGTTTCGCTATAATACACTACAACTAAAATCAAAACGCAAGCTTCCTTTTATTCTCTCACGCTTCCCTTTTATGAGGGTATTTTCTACTCTTTAAAAGTAACAACCTTTTCCTCCGCTGAAGAAATTTTTCAACTTCTCTAGCAATATTGGGCTAAATGAACTGTTCAACATCTTATCAGAAGTGGAAAGTCATGATTTAAATTTCATTTTAGTAACCATCAAGCACAGTTGATTTTTTTCCCCTCATCACAACCCAAAAGCTTCATATTCTATTGAATTATAAGCATATGACGCAACTGAATCATTTTTTTTCGCTACTAAAGAATCTCATGCAATCCGAAACTCCTCCGAAACCATGAGAGTTCAGATACTGTTGCAAATTGCCTTTTAAAATTTATTCAAGTCCAATTAACAATAATATCTATATCATGGCACATCAGTTTATACGGATTTGCACACAATAAACTTCAACAATTATCCATATAGTATTCGTATAACAACTGTTCGAAGAAATGTCACAGTGTCTGTGTAATGTGTACACAGTGATATTCAGCACCAGTCTTTGAACAACCAAAGACGCATCTATATTTATACTCTCACCAAATTATGAGTTCGAATTAACAAGCTTTCATCATTCATTCATTCAGAAAAAAGAAAAAGAAAAAGAGGCTCTGAGATCAAAACAAAAGCATCCAATAGTAGCTGATAAAAGTTCAATAAGAACTGACAGAATCCAGAAAGATAGTCAATTTCAGAAAGCCAACACAAATGAGCAAAAGAAAGGATTATATGAGAGAGAAGAGAGCTACAACTACCTTAAATTATGTGGACAGGTGAAATTGATCGGCAGAAGGATTGAGAAATTGAAATACCTAATTTGATAGAGTCAGATTTTGAGCTTTGGAATTGGGGGTTGTTGGTGAGTTTCAGAATTAACCCACCGTCTCTTGTCCCTGTGCTAATCTATGCGGACAAAAGCGGTGCAAAGTGTCAGAGCACAAATCGGTTCGGTTCGGTTCGCAAGTCAGTGTGTTTGGAATTTGATAGCTATCGATTGGTTTGGAGCAGATTTGTGACTTGCAAGGACTTTGTGCTTTTCTTCTCGACTTTTAAAGCCAGCTTTCTTCAAAGATTTTTATAATTTCTCATATTAAGGGTTTTTTTTAATTATTATTTATAGAAATCAATGCTGTATATTCTAGCTATTAGAGACTTTTTCATAAGGGAGTTTCACTAAAACACCCAAAATGGGGGCCGAAATTATAAAAAAAACCCAACACCCAAAACACTTTATAAACACACCCAAAACTCATCATTACACACACTTAAAACTCATTTATAAACACACCCAAAAATATACAATTGTTTATTTTGGGGTTGATTTTGGGTGTGTTTCTATGTTTAAATAGTGCTTGGGTTTTTTTATAAATACATGTCTAGGATTGGGTTTATTTATAAATTTGTATTTTCATAAATCACAATGAATATTGATTGGAAAAAAAAGGAATTAGTAGCCAAAATTGTCGTTCATATTGAACTGACGATAAAATAAGAGATATTTAGTCATATTCTCATTCTTAGCACTAAAACTATAAATAAATCCTACACCATTTAATTTCTATTAACAAACCCAAAAATAACAGCTGACCCTATTGAATTTAATTTTGATTATTAAATTACTTTATGTCCTATTGAGTGTTTTAGGCTTTTTTATGAGGTTATTGGGTTGGGTTTGTTTTAAGAAATCAATGGTAGTTTTGTAATTTAAAAGAAGTTAAAAGCTTTTTTGTTATATTGTAAATGGATTTTGGGTGTGTTTTCTAAAATCTATTTCATATAAGGTTTTTTGTATTTTATAATTTGAGCTCCTATATTTGGTATAATAGTGAATCTCCCATAGAAATGGGATGTATAAGACATGAGAGAGAAGATAAGTGGAAGAGTTGAGAGGGGAGAGGAAAATAGAGATAAAGGTGTCAGTTTATAGAAAAAAGGAAACTAACTTATTGTAGGCGATGTGGCATATTCATAAACATTGGATTAGTTGGATGGTCTAGATTTTGTGAAATGTGGGTAAATGCACCATCCCTAAATGTAGAGACTCAGGATCCATGTTGAAAGTATGACATTATTACATTTCTAATTAAATTGGATAATTGCCAAACCAAAGGTTATTATTGTATGATTTTTTTTTCTCCTTTTCTTCATTGTAAATGTGTTGATTAAAACTTATATAATGTTCCTAAGTTTGGAAGTTAGTACTTGCTTGTTATACTTTTTTGAATACAAGCGGTAGTTCAAACTATAAGAGAGAGAGAGGGGGGTTTTCTCACATACACTATCATGATGTTATGAGGGTTTGAATTTGAGACCACTATTGATATGCAAGTCAAAGCCCTTTACTACTGGGGCTAGATCCTAGGGGTTTAAATATGAGACCACAATATGTACATTTGTAACGTTAGGCAACTTTGCCTCCTTTAAATACAATAATAGATATGAATTCCCATACATTTTTTGAAGTCTTTATCAATCTTATATTGTAGACAATTTTCAATATTATTAAATGAATTCCCATACCTTTCTTGTCCATATAATGACGTTCATAAAGACGTATAATAGAATTAATTTGGTCATCATTTGAAGAGGGTGGAAAAGATGAGTGGAAAATGAATGAGAAGAAATAGCATGTAATAACATCCATCCCACCAAAAAGACTATCAAATGATTTTTCTCATTCCATTTACACTTTGTTTTTGTGGAAATGTTTCTCATTTAAAATGTTGATATATGCTATAAGGTACAAACCCTTTGACATATTTTAATCATCAATTTTTTTTCAAATTATATATGTTTTATTTTACTTTTGATTAAGCTTATAAATTTTCATTTGATAAAAATAATATCAAATTCAATGTTTCTCATTTAAAATGTTGATAAAAATAATTCTATATATTTATATTAAATCCCATTATATCCAATTACTATCTTAATTTATTCATTTTTAGTTCTTACCCTTTAACTTCTTTTATAATAATAAATAAATAAATAAACACTTTTCACAATAGAAATTATTTGAACAACTACACTCTGCGACATTGGGCTGCTACAAACCATTTGTTTGAGAGTACGAAGACCACTCGGGATGAATTGGAATTCTGAAAGGTCTGAAAGACCACGTCCAATTTAAATTTACTTTAAATTTAACGTCTAAATTAATCTTATTCTATTTTTTTTAGTACAAACTATTGAGAGAGGGGATTTTCATAAAGTATAGCGATTTGAACCTCTGTCCACATAGGTAGATGTGAAAGACCACTAGCAATGATCTTAGTTTCTAAGTCCACTCTATTAAGCAACATTTTCAGTTGAAAAAAGAAAAAGCAAAATCGAAAGAGGAGACCAATGAACTACAGGTCCAAATTCAGCGCATAATAAGAGGCAAATATTGCAACACTAACAATCACTTTCCCAATTGACCAAAAGAGAAAAAGAAAAATGAAACAACATTATGCTTCCCCAATGGATCACTCATTTGGGTCCAAGTGATGTCTCAGGAAAGGAAGAAGCAAGCAAGCTATGAGGATCATGCAATGGAGCTCATGGAATAAAGCAAGCATAGTGAAGTACAAATAATTTGGGTTACAATACTGATTTAGAAAGACTACAGAAACCATATCACATAATACCTAAACATTGTTCTTTAAAAACTGTCTATTACCGATTTACGCTCCTTGTCTAAATAGGAGAGCTGCGGCAGCAGCTTCATACAAACATCATTAGCTCAGGCCGAGTATATACGTTATGATCCTCATCCTCCAGCAAAGGGTAGGATGCTACAAGGGCATCTTGAGCTCCAATATACAGCGAGTTGTAAATCTTCCAGTACACCTCCCTAACCTTCCTAGCAGGATGGAACAGCCCCTGCAGACAGTAGTTGAGCACAACAGCAGCACCCAAAGCCACTCTCATCCCTTCAATAGCTTCCATGACAGCATTTATAACGTGCGGGGATGTCTCAATATGTTTGGCCAGACATAGTTCAACAAGTGGACTAACGCATCTTCACAGCCCAATCCAGCTACTCCCAAAGCCATGTGCTTGACAGCAGAAGCTGCAGTTTGCCTGTGAACCAGATCTCTGTCCATGAGGGCATCCTCGAGCAACGGGGTCACTGCATAGATATAGTCTTTCCCCATTTCACCAATGTACTCAAACAGGAAAGAGAGGGATTTCAAAACACCATTCTGCACATTAAGTTCTGGAACACGATACTCATTCATCAGTGCTGGCAAAACCGTAAAAGGAGAACAGGTTTCAGCTACTATTGCAATTGCCACAGTGGTGCAAACACGGTTCTGACGTTCCTGCACTTTGAGATTGTTCAGTAGAGTTGCCAGGACATCTTGTGGACCAATGGCTTTAGCAATGTACCCAAAAGTGTTCACAGTAGCACGCCGGATACCCTTCTTATGAGCCTTCAGCATCTCAAGAAGCTCAAAACAGATCCTCATCCATTCCTTGCTGGAACAAACTCAGCACCGCGATCAGCAATACGACCAACAAGGTCAATACAGTTCTCCTGGACTTTTTCGTGCCTATTCTTCAAAATTGGAGTCAACCTGGGAAGCAAATCCTTTATAGGAGGCGTCATCTTTGTCATACCAATAACATTCACAATTGCCTTTAGTGCTCCCAGAATTGATCCCAGAACTTCTGGGTATTCTTCTCCCAAATATTCATACAAGACAACACCAAGATGACCCATCAGTTGTTCCTCTTGGCACTGCTTCATGACAACAGCAATCCTCGAAATAAGATCTGCAGCTTGCTGCCTGACCTTTGCACTCTTGTTATTCAAGCGCCACTTAATGGTACCACAAATCTGGGGAAGGTAAGGTTTCACCCTCTGCCCCAGAGAGTTCACAACTGCACCAAACCCATTAAGCATCACATTTGCATCATCACTGGTCTGCTCTTGGAAAGCATAAAGGATACCATCAATGAGAAGCTCCTCCAACCGAGCATCAATATCTGAGGCACCCAAATTCACCACCACCTTCTCAATTGTCTCCATAACCATTCGCCTATACGGTTCACTCTCATCTTTGAGATCCTCAACAATTCTCCCCACTATATCAGCAACACCCACTTTGTTTGCTATCTCCACAGTTGTTTCCACCAGTTGCCTGTAGTTCCTCCTATCCAAAGCCATCCTTCTAACCCAGAAGTTCCTGAAGAACTCAGGAAGAATATCACTTCTTATATACTCAGGCTCTACACCTTCGGTACTCACACACTGTTTCACCACTTTGAGCACAATTTTTTTCATTTCTTCATCAGGAGACTGGAATTCTCTAATCAAAATAACCATCACTTCCTTGGTATAGTAACTAGCATACATTGCATCCATAAGAGGAATGATAAAACCAATTGCCTTCAAGAAGGCAGCCAAAACCTTACCACGGTGAGACCTAATACCCTTCCACAATGGCTTCAAGACAGAGTCAAAGCTTTCAATACCGTATGGGGCAGAAGCCTCAGCAAGAGCAGCAAGTGATAGTGCAGTAATTGTCCGAACCTTCTGATTTTCATCACTCAGACCATTCTCTATAATTTCCACAAGGGACCTCAAGTGGGGAAGAACAGCACACCCTATCAAAATGGCAATCTGCTGAACAATCTTGATTCCAGTGTGCCGTGCTTGCCATGATTTCTTGCTCTGACACACAGCTTTCAAAAATGGCAACAATGCAGGAATACCAAGAGCAGAAGCAACAACACTGAAAGCTCTCGCAGTAGTGTTCCTAACATACTCATCAATGTTATCAATATCCGGACGCATAGCAGCAATCATAGTAGCCAAACCAGCTGCTTTACTAAGATTAGAAATATTTCTCTCCCTTCAACACGCGCATAATAGTCTTCATCAATCAATAAAGGCTCAATCACAACAAGAATCTTATGCACATAAGGACGTACCAGTTCATCCAATTTATAAAGCACTCGATCATTACCTTCACCAAAAGATGCCTCTCTTGGTCTTCCAACGTGGGTTGCATAAGCAAAGGCAGGATACGGTTAAACAAGGGGCCAGCACCAAACTCCCGAGCCTTATCAGTAAGCTGCCTCAAAGCTGTCTTCCTTTGCTGTGGCGTACCATTCTTAACCTTAAGCAAAAGCTTCATAATCTTCCGCTCTTTCTGCTCATCAGGGGACAACTCCTCCTCCTCATCTTCATTCAACAACGCCCCAAAGTACTGGTAATCCTCAGGCTTCATAAATGGCAACCCACCAGGCAACTCCTTGGGCACATCAAACTGCTGCCCGCGATTCTCTTCTGGAATAGAATACCCGGGAGTCCCCATCGGAGTTGGGGTCGCCAGCAGCTTTCTAGCCGGAGTCCTAATCGGCACATAAGAAGCTGGTGGGTCCAAAACCTTATACCCCTCTTGAGGAAACATAGCATCCAGCTCTTCATCAGTCAATGGCCTATTCCTGTCCTCAATATCCTTCTCCCACCTTAACAGATTATACTGTTCCGGCGTATTGCACCACGCAGATTAATAGCCCCGGGCGTGGGAGTAGCCAGCTCAACTCCACCAACAGGAGTCACACCAGGTGTATAGGCCGCAGCAGGGGTTGCCCCAGCCATTGGGGTTGCACTGCCCATTGTGGCAGGGGTCTCATCCCACCTTGACCTCTGCCGTTTCGGAGTGGGCGTGGCCATCCCTGGAAGCTTCGGAGTAGCATCCCAAGCCATCCCAGCAGGGGTGGCACCGGGAGTGGCGCCACCAGATGGAGTGGCATCCGAATCCACCAACCGCCCCGGTGTTGGTGTCTCGTCCCACCGGTTCCTCCTCCCCAAGGACGGAGTCGAATCTGCAACCCTTCCTGGCGTCGGGGTCGCATCCCACTTTCCTGGAGCGCTATCCGGCAAGTCCCAATCCGAAGTTTTGGCCTTCTTGGCCCCACCTTCATCCTGAGACTGGTCCCACCTGTTCCTCCTCTTCTGAGGCACCGCCGCAGCTGCCTTATCCCCTTTCTCAGGCGCTGCCTTGGCCGCCTCCTCTTCCTCCTTCTTCTTCTTGGCAATAAGCCTCAAAGTGTCCTCCTTCTCCCTCTTCAACGCCTCCTCTCTCATGATATCGCTATAAGTCCTCACCGACGGGTCAGGAGTCTTCTCTCCCGCCGCAAACGCATCGTGGCGGTCGGGCGAGAGGACCTGATTAAGCCTCCGCCGTCTATACTCATCCTCACGATCGTAAATCCTCTGTGTCTTCTTGAACCCTAAATCCTCATCTTCGTCGCCGCCTCTCGGCATCTCCTTCGTGATGGACTTGGGGGCCGTGTACGACGGCATCCGAGCCGCCTCATTGCCCATGGCCTCCAAGTTCTCTTCGTCTTCATTGACAGGGATGGAGGAGACGTAGGAATTCTTGTCAGTGCCACCGTAGAGGTCTGTATCGAAGGTGACGGAGGTAAGCGCGGCCAATTGCTTTTCCATCCTCTTCCTCTCTTCCTGTGTCTTCTCTATGTCCGATTTATCGTCATCGATAGGCGCCATTGTTAGGGTTTTGTCTGGGAAAAAACCCTAGAGACCGAGAGATAGAATTAAGCGTTTGAGTGGAGATTGAGCTTCAATTCAGAAATTGGGGTTTCTCGGGCACACCCACTGAATCGCTATCTAGAAGGTAGATCGGATCAGATAAATTAGGGCTTATGGAGCGTACCCTGGTTTTTGGGTACAGTATACGCGAATGCGATGGGCTTGGATATAAGTTAACCCCTTCCCAATATGCTTTTGAAGTCGGTTGGCCCGAGGGGCGGTGGGCATGTTCCGGACTAGTTCAGTTTTTTTTGTTTTTTTGTTCGAAGAATATAGTCTAAAATATCGACAAAATATTGAGAGAAAAAAAAACACAAAGCACACATACAAAAGGGATTCAAACTTTTGTCATTTCATTCATCCAATGCATTAATTATCATGTTGCATCCAATGCCTTAACTATCATGTTGCTTATGTTTTTGTGATTATATGTTAAAATATGTATATTTATATTATTTTGTTTTAAACAATTTCATGCAAAACTATTTTGAGGATTTATCATTTGATGACTACTTTTCAATAGTACACTTACTCTAAACATACAGATTATGAAGATCGTAAAAAATTTGAACATCATAAGAACTCTGTGTGGTACTGAGTCACACATGTATCTTACTATACAATGTATAAAGTGTAAAATACTGTAGTAAATCATTATATATAAATTATTATAGCGTGTTTAATATTCTTCATTAATTACTACATATTTTTTACATTTACAATGTTTGTCAACTCACTATATAATCAACTTAAATCAGTTAAACCCATCATGCAATGCATTCCTTCCAATTTTTTGTGGTAAACTAATAGATAATTTATTAAATAAACATCCTCCAAAGTTTCAACAAAATTTCCAAGTTTTTTTTACAATTACTGCGGTTTTTATTCAATTTTTATAAATATCGATAATATCCCGATATTTCCATAAAAATTTCTGTGTTTTTGACTACCGATATTTCCGATACCATCGATATTTTAGACAATCTTCAGTTTCACTTCAAAACTGTGGCCAAACATCACATAATAAATCAAATCAAACCAATTTAAGACGGTTTGATTCAATCGGTTTGGGCCTAAGCCCAATTTTCTTTTATTTTGTATTTTTCAACATTATCCCAATTATAATAAACAAAATGGGTACAGTGCATAAAAGTATATGAATTTTGGCGGTCGTTTCAAATTAGTACTCAATTTTTAAAATTTTTCATATAGATACCCAACCTTACATAAAACATACAAATTAGTCACTCTCTTAGTTAGACCGTTAATAGATCTGTGAAATGATGACGTGGCAAACATGAGCTCCAATTTTTTTGTTGATGTTTAATAAAATATCAATAAATAAAAAATTCTTTATCTTTTAAAATAATTTTCAAAAAATTAAAACAAGATCTAATAAGTGAAAATTCTAACCAATCAATCATCGATCCCCAACCTCATCCCAACCCCATCTAGGGATGGCAATAATACCTGTCGGGTTGGGTCCCCAGCCCTAATGAGGGGAGTTTTCAGGGGGGAATCGGGGCCAGGTACAGGGATCCCTGAATTAGGGATGGCAATAATACCTGTTGGGTCGGGTCCCCTGCCTTAATGGGGGGAGTTTTCGGGGGGAAATCGGGGCTAGGTAAAAGGATCCCAGAATTTGCAAAATCCCTGACCGGGGATGGGCCGAGGATGGGACTGTTATCCCCATCCCCGAACCCGGCCCGATAAGTAATATATTTATTTATAATCAATATATATTAATATAATATAATTATTTATTTATTGTGCTTACTAAAAAAGTTTCTAAAGATTTGGATAGAAATTATTTCAAGTTTTGTGTCCTCCTTATTTGCCTTGTTGAGTTATTATTTTAACAAGAAATATCTTGTGGTGGTTGTTTTTAAAATTTCACAATGATGTAATTGTGCTTTAGAAAATTATTTTAACAAGAAATATCTTATTAAAAACCGGGGATTGGGGCTGGTATGGGAGGCACTTCCCAAACGGGGACGAGGACGGGGATTCCCCGAAAAGCCTAAACCAGGGATTGGGGCGGGGACGGGGACGGGGATGGTGAGCATGTACGGGGATGGTATTGCCTTACCCGGCCCCTAACCGGTCTGTTGCCATATCTAGCCCCATCCTCCTCCACTGAACACAACAACTACTCACCCCTCGTCTTAATCTCCACTCCAGCACTTACCCCTTGCCGTCCCGTAACCCAGCCGCCACCATAACCACTCAGCCAGCCATATCCACAACTAGACCACCAACACCTAACCAGATCCACCCCCCCCCCCCCCCCCCCCCTCCCCCCCCTTTTTTCGTGACTGTAACACCCAATTCTCTCAGACCGCACAACAACCATCCTTTTTCTCAACCTAACCCATACCATTGAGAGAAATAAGTGTAGAAGAAACAAAAAAAAAATGAAAAATCAAACCTAGATATCAAAAATCAAATCCATATTATAAAAAAATAAATTAAACTTAACCCCAGTTTCTCCACTTGTGAGTAGCACCATTAAAGATTCTTGAATCAAATGCGAAATATGATATGGGGAAATATAACGAATCAAAGAAATTTGGGACTTTCGTGATGAGATGAGAGTTTCAAAATTCACACAGAGAGAGAGTGTGGGAGTGAGGCTGCTGGGTTGGTAAGGGTGTGGGAGGAGGTAGTCAGGCTGGGGTGGTACTGGGATGAGAGAGTAGCAACGATATCAACCATCCCCACCCACTACCACTGTAGATATCGCTGAAAGTGGGGATATGGATGACAATAGGTCGAATCATGGGTGGGTGTGCCATTCCATCCTCATCCCCTTAATTTTTTTTTTTTTTTTTTTTTTTTTTTTTTTTTTTTTTTTCTATCCTCATCCTACTGGCAATCTTCAAATCAGGGATTTCATCCTTATCTACATTGGGAACGGTTCCCTCACCCATCCCATTACGAAAAAAATAAAAATAAATAAAATGCCACTTTGTTTTAACAGCCCAAGTTCATACACAACTTTAACCCATCAAATCTCAATGAAAATTTTCGTATAAATACTTGATTTTAAGCTTATGAAATTTTCTTCAAAGTTACCGAATTTGTTTTCAAAATAAACTTTGTAATGAAAGAAAATTGAATCGTAAGAGTGGTTAAAAAAATCTGAAATATGCATTATATGCTGAAATTCTTATGATTTTCTTTGGAAATAGAGGTTCAAATAGAATCATAGAAACACAAAAATAATGAGAGAAAGTTATAATTTCAGATCAAAACTGATACAAAGCATTGAACTTCAAATTGAAAACTAAAGACACCCAAAACTATAAAAACTCTTACCCTTATGCCTTCCTTTTCCAAAGCTCAAAACTTCCTCCTTTTTTTTCTTTTTTGATTTTTTCAAAATTCTTCCTCTCCCTCTCTTAAGTTCTACTAGTAAAGTGTAGGGGTGGGCATCAAGAGCAGAAAATCGGAGCAATGAACTGGATCGGATGAAAAAAATCGGAAAAAAATTAGTTGACTAAAAAAGTCAACAAACTGCACCTAACCAAACCGGACCGATTGTGTATAATTTTTTTTTTTACAAAATTATTTAAATCCAATGCTACATTTTTAATCTTATAACTAATATTTTTCCTAGTCCAACTTCAAGACATCTATTTTTTAGGCTCAATATCTCTCTTTGTATTGAATTGGATGATTTATTAATTTTCAAGCCCAAAAAATAAATTTTTAGTTGAAATTTGTATTTAAAAAATTAAAAAATAATAATATTAATAATCTGATTCAAAACCGGACCAAAACCGATGAGAACCAGACTGGCCAGTTTTTTTAAAAAAAAAATCACTAGAATCAGACTTGTTAAATAATACCAATTTTAGTTTGAGGTGAGAACTGGACCGTGCTCACCCCCTAGTAAAGTGAGCTAAAAACTCATATGAAAAAGGATAATACTAGTCTTACCAAATTTTTATACCACATGATGTGGCAGCTGATATGTACACACCACATCATGTCAAATAATAGTTTATGTTTTTCTAATTTTATTTATTAAAATACACTTCATTCATTTAATTGATGTGGCATATGATATGGACATGCCACATTATGTGGTATAGAAATGTGTGATAAAAATGTGGTAAGTGTAGCATTACTCTATGAAAAATCACCTCTCTAACTTCAACTATTTATAGGTGGAAAAGTCATGATTAAAACCTATTACTAGATCTTCCACCTTCTCTTTATAGCTGAGATTACTCAGCACACTAGCTGGGATTAGTCAGCCATATAGATTGCTTACAAAGCAATCTAAGTTCATCACCAATAACCACCTCCTCCTATAGACTCTCCACCTCTAACCTAACCCTTCCACCTCCTCTTTAAATCTTGCTCCCACCATCACCAGCTTATATGGCCTTCACTAACAAGCACCCTAGAGTGCTTACAAGGCATGAAGATATATATTTGTTTTTAAAGAAACAAAATAAGAGAGAATGAAGAAGACAAGACGAAGAATGAAATTTTTGGGTGCATGATTTTTGAGAAAAAACTGTTGTATCTCAACTTACATATAAGACAAAACATTGGGTTGAACTAAATGACCAAAATATTGATGATTTCTATAACATCTAAAATTAATTTATTTTTTTTAGAACGTGTCTTTATATTATTGAAGCCTTCAGTCTGCTTCGACAATACCGCATGAAGTTGAATATGAGCAAATGCACATTTGGAGTCTCATTTGGCCGATTTTTTGGGATACTTAGTCACCCAAAGAGGCATCGAGGCTCACCCCAATAAAATCAAGGCCACCCTCAATATGAAATTACCTACCACAACGACATAAATAAAAAGTCTAATGGGCAGAACAATCGCTCTCAACCGATTTCTTTCAAGATCTATAGACAAGTGCATGCCGTATTCAAAGCCTTAAAGAAAAGATAAAGAGACAAGTGAGATGAAGAGTAGGAAGCAACTTTTCAAGATTTGAAGACATATCTTACTTCACCTCCCCTACTCTAAAGCCCGTACCAGTCGAAGTTGTTTCTAGCATATTTTAACTCTAAAGATCATACTTAGTACTTTGTTGTTTATGTGACTCTTGGTATATTTTAACATTGAGAGCAGCAATGCATGCACAAGATTTGCATAATGAAACACTGGAAGAGCAATATGAAACGGTAAGATGATGAAACTTTCATTATAACAAATCAAATTCTAAGATATGTATGTCACATGCATGAAGTGTATGTACACTACAATGTCGAAAGCTAGAATAAGATCACGTCCACAAAATTTCAGGTGCGAAAAACAAATAAACCTCATGTTATGCAGTATGGAGTCATACATAGGTTCAGACCCAGCAAATGGTAGCTATACTTCCGTCAAAGATACCTCTTCCTTATCAACCTCAAGAATTGTAAGCTAATACGACGCATGCCTCATTCATTATATGCACAAGGTTTCTGCTCTTAATTTAACCTGAGCTCTAAACTGTATGTTTTTAAAATTTGCGTATATAGAAAATTTAAATTTTCAAAATGTATTCTTTATATTTATAAACCAGTTCTTTTTATTATTCAGTTCCACAGAGCTCCTACTGCTCTATTGAGAAACTGGAAGCTCAAAGCTGCTGCTTGATGAAATTGCTTATAGGAAGCATGTGGACTACATCATAAATAAAATATGGGGAGCTTCTGTTTGGATATGAGAAGAGCTAAGAAGTAAGGTTAGGCCTGCGGGGCGCAACCTCTAGTTGATGATTGGGACTGCATCAAGATGCTTGTAAGTCCTTGCAACTCCAAACATTAAATTAATACAGATATACACACGTTTGGCTTAGATCTATACTCTAATGATTTCAAGTAAATCCCTTAATTTTATGCCTCAGATTTTGATTTTCAGTTCTTTTCGACACATACGAGAACTGATGAGAACCACTGTGGACCTTTTTGACGTATGGAAGGAAATACACGCGAGCTATTGCCAACTTCTACAATGCATGCGTCACCATTGTCTTCCTTGTTGAACAAATGAAGTAAAAAAATAAGTAGTCGTTGAAACAGTAAACTGAAATCTCATCTTCTATCTCAAGTGGAAGCAAAAATTTGGTTAACCACATTTCATATGCAACAATTGACATCTCATATCTTATATTGAACTCATTACAAATACAAATTCAGAATCACTGACAATCAACTAAAGTTTCCTCCTCTTCGAAGTCCTGGCTTGCCTTCGAACATTTCTCACTTTTCTTGATTGAAGATGTCTCAAGCTTTTTAGCCTTTGAGATCCACCTACAACACGAACAAACCTTCCCCTAGACTTTAACCTTACATGGTGGTGACTACGAGTGCCATGCCTACTTGATGGGTAAAAAGAGCTCTGCAGCTTGTCCTTTCTTTTCCTGCTGATTGACTTTTTCTTTTTGCTGACATTCAAATTATGATAGTTATCCTAGAAATCAATTTCCTCACTTGAATTGTATCCTTGTTCAATGTCTCGAACTTGGCGTCGGAATCAATGACTATAATGACGGTGGTTTACCCTCTTCGTATTCTTTAGCTTGTACCATAGGAAACAAGTAATATCTTCTAGTGCATACCAGTATGTCTCACATGCAGCCCAACACATCTTATAGAGGCTTTTTCTAATGCATTGGAATAACCCCAGCTTGAGTAATAGATCGAAGAATAATAAAGCTGAACAAAATTTTAAAAAAATATATGAAAAAGAAACAAATCAAACATTTCTGCAACTGAAGCTGAAAGCAAATGGGCTTCCAAGGCTAGTCTATGAAGCAAACTCCAACGAAAATAACAAGAGTACAACTAAAGAAGAAGGAGAAATTACTTATGTAGCAGAGGACCAAGATCATAAACAGTTCCAACAGATTGGAGACACATAGATGCTCAATAAAGCAAACAAAATCTCAGGGTCCTGAACAAACATCCCTGCATAATCAAACATATCAGAGTAATACTAGCAGTGCAGTGAAGTACAATCGAAAAAGTATTCAGATTTCTTTTTATCTTTTGATGGAAGTAAGCAAGTAACAGATTACAAACAAAAAAGAATAAGGAAAAATTGTATGAAAATTATCTGAAAGGTTTTGGCAAACATATATGAAAAAAAACTCATAGTAGGCTCCCAAGTCAGTGCTACACAACCATATCATACTAATTTTATATGAAGTTACGACAAATGATTGAACAGAATGATGGCTAGGCCAGCAATAAAGAGAACATTTCACCAGAACTTACTCGTATGAGCCACCAAACGTGGTCTTAAATGGAGCCAAAAACGCCTTTTCAAATAGACCACCAACCCCATATGCAGCTTTACTGATGACATCCCCATCTGCAATACAAGTTCAAGTTCAAAAAAATGTGTTTATTGCTGCCAACTCCTCCATCCTATTGATCTCGTTGCCCGCGAAAAGTATATTAAGTTGCACAACAATACGTGAAATTGTAGAAGTATAAATTGTCTCCAGGTTCAATTGTTTAGTTTAGACAGGTGTATGGCTCATATGCCATCACATATTGTTGGGCTAACATGTCCAGATTCATGCCAAGTGTACAGTTCATAGGCTGGTACAATTGTGTACTGTGTTTTTTTTTTTTTTTTTTTTTTTTTTTTTTTTTTGTAAGTTAGTTATATATTGAAAGGAGAATGAGATCACACTACGAGTGTGCGGATGATTACAATCATTGCCTAAGAGACTATCTCTCTCTCTCTCTCTCTCTCTCTCTCTCTTTATCTTCTCTCTCTGAAACGTTTCCTCATATACTTTCTGTGCAAGAAGACCTACTATTCTATATAAACTCCAACATGGTATCGAGGGGCCAGGTTCTGATATGAGACTGGGCGTAGTGAAAACACAGCAATCCAGCTGAGGAAAGCTCTATCTGGTCTTACATGGCTGGATCTAGCACGGGTGAGGTTCGTGCTCCCATCTTCAATAAAAGCAACTATGATTTCTAGAGAATAAAGATGTGCACAATCTTCAAATCTCACAAGTTGTGGGATATGGTTGAGAATGGGTATGAGAAACCTGTGAAGAAGGAAGAAGGAGAAGCTCTGACTGCAGCTCAAAAGCTTTCTTTGGAAGACAATGTTGCAAAGGATGCTAAAGCTTTGCGACTGATCCAAGGTGCAATTTCTGACGAAATCTTTCCCATAATTGCATTGAAAGAGTCAGCCAAGGAAGCATGGGAGATCCTGCAACAAGAGTTCAGAGGTGATAAGAAGGTGAGATCTGTGAAACTTCAAGCTCTTAGAAGAGAATTTGAATACACTCGTATGCATGAAGATGAATCGTTATCTGGGTATGTAACTAAACTGCTTGAGCTGGTGAATCAAATGAAGGCTTATGGTGAAGAGTTAACTGAACAGAGAATTGTTCAGAAACTCTTGATTAGTTTATCCAGAGAATATGATTCTATTGCTGAAGTTATAGAGGAAACAAAGGATACAGAATCTATAGGGGTTCAAGAGGTTATAGGCTCTCTAAAATCTCATGAACAATGGCTGCAAAGGCATAATGAGAGAGTGACTGAGAAGGCATTCTCTAGTTTGAATGTGAATTCTAAAGATCAATCAAGCACAGGGCAAGCATGAAGTTTCAAGTCTAAAAAGAATTGGAAATCTCATAAAAGGAAGAAGTGGGACTCAAAGTCTGAAAATAATTTCAAGAAGGAAAGTCAGACTGAGGGAGCAAAGATTCCTTGCAAAACATGTGACAAGTTGCATTATGGTGTCTGTTGGTTCAAAGGTAAACCAAAATGTTATAAATGCGAGAGGTTTGGGCATATAGCCAAGGAATACAGAGGAAAATTTGAGCAGACTGCTAACTATGCATCACACAAAGAAGAGGAAGGTACCATGTTCTATGCTTGTCATGCTGCTGAAATAGTGAAAAATAATGGTGTGTGGTATGTGGACAGTGCATGCAGCAACCATATGACTTCACATGCATCTCTACTAGTTGACATTGATACCAAGATCACTTCAAAGGTAAAAATGGGCACTGGTGACTTGGTGTAAGCAACTAGTAAAGGAACTCTGATAATTGACACTAAATCTGGGCCTAGACATATTAAAGAAGTCATGCTTGTACCAGGGTTGGATGAGAACTTACTTAGTGTGGGTCAGATGGTAGAACATGGCTATTATCTGGTTTTTGGAAGTTCAATGGTGGAGATATTTGATGACAAGTCAATGGAAAATCTGGTGGCAAAGGTTTCCATGATAGGAAACAGATGTTTTCCACTCTCACTAAAATATGCAAGCTCTGTGGCTATGAAAGCAACAATTGAAGAATCCACTTGGTGTTGGCATAGGAGGTTTGGTCATTTGAATATGCAAAGTTTGAAGTTGTTACAACAACAGGAGCTGGTCTATGGACTGCCTGATATTAGCAATGCAGACAGAATTTGTCAAGACTGTGCAATTGGAAAATCTCACAGAAGGCCTTTGGTAAAGAGAAAACTTGGAGAGCTTGTGTACCTCTGGAACTGGTTCATTCAGATGTCTGTGGACCAATGCAAACTACAACAATAGGTGGAAACAAATACTTCTTGACCTTCATTGATGATTGCACTAGAATGTGCTAGGTGTACTTCATGCAATTCAAGTCAGAAGTGTTTAATATTTTCAAGAAATTAAGGCTATGGTGGAATTACAAAGCGGCTATAAAATGAAGAAACTTAGAAGTGATAGAGGTGGAGAATATACTTCCACTGAATTTTTGCAGTTTTGTGAAGAAATTAGTTTGGAAAGACAACTAACCGTGGCCTACTCACCTCAGCAAAACGGAGCTGCTAAGAGAAAGAACATGACCATTGTAGAGATGAGCAAGACAATGATGAAAGAGAAGAAACTACCATACAATTTATGGGGAGAGGCAGTGAATACAGCTGTCTATATTCAGAATAGATGCCCCACAAAAGCTTTAGATAATGTCACTCCTTTTGAAGTTTTTAGTGGAAGAAAGCCCGGAGTTAAGCACTTGAGAGTGTTTGGCTCTATTTATTTCTGCCATGTGCCTAGTCAGTTGAGATCTAAGCTGGAAGATGCAGCTAAAAATGCATTTTTGTTGGCTATGGAAAATGTGAAAAAGGGTACAAAGTGTACAATTTGCAAACCAACAAGGTCACTACATCTAGAGTGTGATCTTTGATGAGAACTCATTATGGGATTGGGACAAGCAAACTGTTGATTCTATCATAGTTCCAATGAGGCTTGAAGACATTTCCAGAAGCTCTGAAGAGGAATATGAAGAAACAATGACAGACAACATCTCTAGCCCAATTCAAGTGACTACAACTGCTGCTAATGTTGATTCACCAAGTGATTCTCCAAGTTCTACACCTATTAAGCTTAGAGACATCACTGAGATCTATGCTAGATGCAATATGAGCATCATTGAACCAGAGAATTTTGCAGAAGCTTCAAAGGATAAAGCTTGGAAAAAGGCAATGGAAATAGAAATGGAGATGATTGAGAAGAATGAGACTTGGGAACTAGTTGATAGACCAAGTGATAAACCTGTGATTGGTGTGAAATGAGTTTATAAAACCAAATTAAACCTTGATGGCTCAATACAGAAGCATAAAGCTAGGCTGGTGGTCAAAGGCTATGCACAAAAGCCTGGAATTGACTTCAATGAGACTTTTGCTCTTGTGGCCAGACTTGACACAATTAGAACTCTCATCGCTTTGGCAGCTCAAAAGGGGTGGAAAACTATACCAATTAGATGTCAAGTCTGCATTCCTAAATGGTGTGCTTAAGGAGGAAGTTTATGTAGATCAACCAGATGGATTTGTGACTACAAATTAAGAAGACAAGGTGTACAAGTTGAAGAAAGCTTTGTGTGGTTTAAAATGAGCTCCAAGATCCTGGTACGAGGAAATCAATGCCTATCTTATTAGATGTGGCTATGTCAGAAGCACAAGTGAAGCTACATTGTACTGCAAGACTAAGGAAGACTCTGGAACTTTAATAGTCTCAATCTATGTTGATGACATCGTATATACATGTAGCAGTGAAGAATTAATTGCAGAATTCAAGACTGAAATGATGAGAAGGTATGAAATGACTGACTTGGGTATGTTATATCACTTTCTTGGTATGACAGTGATTCAAACTGAAACTTGCATTTTCATAAACCAAAAGAAATATGCACTGACATTATTGAGCAAGTTTGGTTTGAAACAATGTAAACCAGTTAGTACTCCATTGATGACAAGTGAAAAACTGTGCAAGGATGATGAAAGTGAACCTGCAAATGAGAATGAGTACAGACAAATTGTGGGTAGCTTACTATATCTGACAGCTACAAGACCTGACATAATGTTTGCAGCTAGCCTATTAGCAAGGTTCATGCATTGCCCAACAAAGAAACACTATGGAACGGCTAAGAGGGTGCTAAGGTATATTCAAGGCATCATTGATTTTGGTATTGAATATCAGAAGGGAAAATAGGCTATCCTAATTGGAAATTGTGACAGTGATTGGAGTGGAAGCCAAGATGACATGAGAAGCACTCTGGCTATGCCTTCTCCTTTGGCAGTGGAGTATACTCTTGGGCATCAGTCAAACAACATAATGTAGCCCTCTCTACAGCTGAAGTCGAATATGTCAGCGCAAGTGAGGCTACTACACAAGCTATATGGCTGAGATTTGTGCTTGAGGATTTTGGAGAATTACAGACTGAGGCAACTCCATTAATGGTAGATAACACATCTGCCATTGCAATGACAAGAAATCCTGTTTTCCATCAGAAAACCAAGCACATCAACCGCAGGTATCATTTTATCCGAGATGCTTTGCAAGATGGGGTAGTGGACTTGAGGTATTGCAAGTTTGAAGAACAAGTGGCTGACATTTTCACTAAAGCTTTGCCTAAAGATCGGTTCAACTATCTTAGAGGATTGCTTGGTGTTAAACCAGTTAACAATTTAGAAGGGAGTGTTGAAGTATAAATTGTCTCCAGGTTCAATTGTTTAGTTTAGACAGGTGTATGGCTCATATGCCATCACATATTGTTGGGCTAACATGTCTAGATTCATGTCAAGTGTACAACTCACAGGCTGGTACAATTGTGTACTGGTCTTTTTTTTTTTTTTTTTTTTTTTTTTTTTTTTGTTTTGTATTTGGTTGCAAGTTATATATGAAAGGAGAATGAGATCACACTACGAGTGTGCGGATGATTACAATCATTGCCTAACAGACTCTCTCTCTCTCTCTCTCTCTCTCTCTCTCTCTCTCTGTGAAACGTTTCCTCATATACTTTTTGTGCAAGAACACCTATTATTCTATAGAAACTCCAATAGAAATTTGAATGCAAATTAAAGCAATAATACAAACCCACAAAGTTGACCAAAAACATTATTACAGTTTGAGATATTCTGAAGCAAACACCTTGCTGAACAGTACTAATTAAGCTATTGCGCAGATGTGCAGGAGACACTAAAAACATTAGCTTGATATACAAGTATTAATATATGTTCCTTTCGTTTGCATACGAATTCAATGCGGTCGAGGCCCTTCACCTTGCAACTACTGACGGCGGAGACTTTATCTATATTGCTACTCGGTTCCTTCAGCCTTCTTTGTATTGTCTAGATTTTGAAGAAGCCATGGTTATACTGGAAATGCACTGCTGAAACTTATGAGGTATACACACAAACTACTGACGACAAAATCTTGTTTCTGTCATGTATATGCAGATGAAAAGATAATAAGAGCAAATTCCAAGCATGATAATAGATGAAGAAACCTTATTCTAACATATTTGATTTAAGAATATTTGAGAAGATTAGAAAGAACAAATACCCTCTTCTTGTGCATGTTACAGATTGAATGCCATCTCATGCTTCTTGCATGATTGGAAAAAGAACTATAAAACAAAGAGTAAAAAAACCTAAAAAAGAGTTGTAAAACAAATATGGGAAGTCAGTATTCTGTGTAGTTTGCAGAGAATTTGATGAAACAACAAACATAACCCATAAACTTATCCGATCTATAGCTTCATGAAACTAGTAGAGAACAAGAAATGGATCTTTTGTCCAATGCAATTTGCAAGAGAAGCAATGGCAGTTGGATGCAGTTAATCCCACGTTCGACCTTTTGGTGTCTCTTCTCTTCTCCCTTTTTGCATGTTTAATCTCTTTGCTTTAATTTTTATCTTACAATAACTTATTACCTAGCATGTAGGGGGACATCAATCTGGTTGAATCGATGAATTCGGCTGATGCAAATTGTAATTACCAATTTGGTTTGGTTTTGACCATGAACAAATCAACATGTTTAAAAACCGAATGGAAATGTATGGTTTGGTTTAGTTTGGTTTTGAACTTTTATAGACTGACCTAAACCGAATCAGACCATCTACTTATAAATATATATATATTGTTTTATATGTGTAGTATTCTAATTAGACTAGCTTCTCCGCACGTGTTTCCGCAACTGCAGTGGTGTTTAGTTTAAAAAAAAATTAAAATAAAAAAAATTAAAAAAATAATGAATAATGTGTTCCATAAAAATAACTTATTATCTAATTTTGTTTTAATATGAAAAAAGTGAATTTACGATATTATCCAAATTAATTATTAATTTCAATTCTTAATGTTTGTATTAATTAAGGGCATTTTCTGGTATTTTGACCATTCCGTTGCCTTTTGCTTTATATATATAGATAACTCCAAAAGTCCATCAAACTTCAAATTAACACTCCTATATTGGTATTATCTATATATATAAAGAAAAAGGCAGAGAATGGTGAAACATTCAAAATACTAGAAAATGCCCTTAGTTAATTCAAACATTAAGAATTGAAATTATTAATTAAATGAGAATAATAATGTGGTAAATTCAAACTTTTTCATATTAAAAAAATTAAAATTAAAAGAAAAATCAGATAATGAATTCTATTTTTATGGAACACAGCTACCCATTATTTTATTTTAATTCTAAAATAAATTTAATTTTTTTTAAAAAAAAATTATTATAAGTGCAAAAGCGCATGCGGAAAGACTAGTTAATAATAAGTGAGCTTTAGTTGGGCCGCAAATTTAGAGTGAAATCAATCTAATTCGGACGTGATTGTTTTTTCTTGCACCAGTCATTATTATTATTTTTTGTTTTAAGGATGTTTCTGGTATATTGATTTTTAGTGGATAATCAATACACTCAAAGAAAAATAAAATTTTGAATATCAAAACGACATATCTACATAAAGAGAAACTCTCGAGTCTGTGTCCAAATAGAACCGAAGCTTTTAGCTGTAGTGAATGAAAAAAGGTAGACCACCCTTCCCGCTCATTCCCAATTTCCCCCCCTTCACCTCACATGGACTCGGCGGCAAAGGATGAGCAACCTGCTGACGTCAAACACTTGGCGGCATTTCTCATCCGCCACCACTCTGACCAGCTTCACTCCATCGCTCTTTCCCAAGACCCGAAGCTTCATTTCCCTCTCTACGTCAAGTACATCAAACCCTCATCAAAACCCATTTTACTTTTTTTTCTTTTCTTTTTCAATGGTTTGCATCTCTCACTCTCTGACTCTTTAAGCTATCTTTCTCTATCTCTCACTTTGTGTGTGTGTGTGTGTGTGTGTGTGTATCTTAGTTTTGCAGAGCTTATGGATGACGATCCTCCGCTTTCACACCTCGTCTTCTCTCAACCCACCGAGTACTTGCGGCTTTTCGACGAGGCGGCTGTTTGGGCTCATGTATGTACGCAAATTGTGTGTTTAATTACAAGTGTAGTCTTAATTTGTTGAACTGAACTTGTTGAAATGATGAATTTTGATTTGGGTATGTGTGGTATTCTGTGTAGAAAGTCATATTGGGGGATTTGAATGGTTCCAATAAAGGGATAAAGAAGGAATTCATTCATGTTCGTATCAATATTAGCGGTTCACCACTTGAATGCCCTGGTTTGCTTCTGTTTAAGCTCTTAAAAATTATTTGGAGCCATTTCTTTCAACTCGGTTTTCTTAATTTTGTTATAAACTGTTGGTTGGTGTGTGTGTTATGTAGAGACTTTTCCGAGCATTGGGCGTGTGAGAGTCAAGCATCGTGGGATTCTGCTCACTCTCAAAGGGACAGTAATTCGATCTGGAGCAATCAAGATGTATGAAGGAGAGAGGAAGTATATGTGTCAGAAATGCAAGCACGAGTGAGCTTTTTCTCTCTCTACACAACTATTACACACATATTGTGTTTGTGGAAAGAAAAAACATCTGGATATATTAAAAATTCTTGTGCTTAAAGAAATATAATGTTCATAAATTTGGTTCATTTCACTTCTAAATCTTGACTAGCTATGTTAGCATCCTTGCTGCTCAATATGTTTTGAAAGCATGAATAACCTAGCTCAGTGCTATTGTAATTTAATTTACTAATTACAGTAAAACTGTCTATAAAAGTAAATTCTGCATCTGATTAGCAGTTTTTCTTGGAATAATTTCAGAATGAAAGATAGGTACGAAATATGATATTCTTTTACTATTTCATATGGTATGTTGAATCTTTTTCTTTGAGAACAAATTTTTAGATTACTGGAATTATAGATGTAGCACATATGCAGATATTATTCCAGTATATATTGGAATAAACTCCACTTTTCGTTGAGTTAAGTTAACTTTGTTTATCTGCAGATTCCTGGTTTATCCTGAGCTGGAATCGAGAAACTCTATTAAACTGCCATCATATTGCCCCTCTCAGGTTATTTACTTCAGCTCAGAACTAAGAATATTATTTGCTATTCATTGTTTGGAAAGTCCGAAGGCAACATTTAGATTAGCATTAGCAACTATCAGAAGAGGTCATGTGGGTACATGTAAAACATTAAAAAGTCTTTAGATTTTTCAAAGTAGGAACATAGTCATCTAGATCTTTGATTTTGGTTTTTTAGACTTCTTGTAGTTTGCAATTATTCTTGGGCTTTAGCTTAAGTGGTACATGATGGGTTTGATTGGGGTCGGTCGTTGGTTTCAATCATGCTAAGAATGAAGAGAGAATAACAATTTAATTTTGAATATTGACACTGTGTGTGGATTCAGATGTTTAATAGGAAACCTAGTCTTTTATTTTACTTATTGTTTGCATTTCTTACTAGCCACGTCTCTTCCAAATTCTGATATAATTATGCTTTTGGAGTTTTGGCATCTGATCTGATTTTCCCAATGACAGAGGTCTAAACCCTGTGAAGGCACAAAGTTCGGGCATTTAGAAGGTTCTATTACATGCCATGATTATCAGGAAATTAAAATCCAGGAGAGTACACATGTACTGGGTGTTGGGGCAATTCCTCGCTCAATTCCTGTCATTCTAAAGGACGATCTTGTTGATATTGTTAAAGCTGGAGGTACTACATTCTAGGATCTCTGCTTTCTTTTCTTCTTTTCTTTTTGTTTTTAATAGTTTACCTCCTGATATTACTATTCCAAAGTGAAACTTAATTTCAATTTGAAAATTATCCCAGTTTTATTAATTGGAAATAAGTAATTATACATTTTTGTCAAAACATACTTTTAGTCCCTTTAATTTGCTTAGGAATTTTCAATTTCAACCCCGTATAATGCACAATCATACCCTTGTAATTTGAATTTGGTTGCAATAAAGCCCAAATCTCAAAAAGTGATCACTTTTTCATGTTTTTAAAGGGATTGGAGAGGGAATTTGACATTTTAAGTGCAACAATAACCACCTGACGGTACAAAAAATTCAAAATCCTTTGCCCGATCCCTTAAAATACACATGACAAACTGGTACTCTTTTGGGCTTGATTGCAACCTATTGAAACTACAAGGGCGTTATTGTCCATTTTTAAACTACAGGGTCGAAACCGAAAATGCTAGCAAACTACAGGGACCCAAAGTGTGTTTTGGCCAACATTTTTGGATAATACAAGAATGTGCTTGTTTTCAAGTTTCTTTCAGTGTAAACCATTTAAGATTACCATATATTGTTTTGCCTTTTAAAATATTAAAACAAAGCTCAATTATGGTTTACTTAAAGATGAACTTCATGGAAACTTAGCATTTTAAAAAGGTGTTGCATAAAGAAAATTCTTAACTTTGTACTAGAGAACTACAAGAAAAGAGGTGTGCTATCTCGAAGATGAAGCTGTTGATGCTCTTGAGTCTCTTTATACTTATTTTGTATTTCTTCTTTCTCTGTTATTTCCTCTTGGATAAATGTTGTTTTATTTGTTTGTACCTGAAAAATCCTTGACTGTAAGATGGCTAATAACTAAGCCATTTTACAAAATCTATGAGAAAACCATAAATCTTCACACTTTTGTGGTCAAGTAATTTTCTTAAGTAATCATTTAGACTTGGGTGGCCAGATGTCAATAAAATTATTCTCTATCAATTCTCACTAATTTTATATAAAGATCATAGATATCTGTTTGCTCCAACTAGGAAACTCTGCTTGGTTGCTTAGCAACTTGAGCTCTACCAAACTGATTCAGTCAAACAAAACTATGTATAATTTCTTGAGTCCTTTTCTTTGATAATGTAATTGGTGACAGCGTCAGGATTTTGTGTAGACTTGTACAAAGATGGCATAAACTTCATCCTTAATCTTAATATCTATTGCTATTAATAATGGTGCGATTTGGACCTACTCTTTGAATATGTGGTTGTTTGTTATGTTAATTTGTGCCTGCATTTTTTCCTCATTATTATGCAGCATCTATTCTCATTATTATATATATATTTGTTTATGTTATAAGATTTTTAAAAAAATTCGCCTATATTACTTGATTTTGTTGTGTAGTGGTGAATATGACTTTTATTAATTGTTAATGCAGATGATGTTATCGTTACTGGGATATTAACTGCAAAGTGGTCCCCAGACTTAAAAGATGTGCGTTGTGACCTTGATCCTATATTAATTGCTAATTATGTTAGGTAAATTTAATAGTAATTTTTTTTTGAATTTACATCATGAATGGATTTAAGAATACCATATGGGGTTTCTTGATATCTTCTGTGTGATCTAGGTTGTATGAAGCTTAATATTGTGTTATGTACTTGTATAACTGAAATGGATATCAGTAACTTACTGAGAAAATCTTTATTACTATTTCTTCTATTGGATTACAGTCCCACCCTTCCCAAAAAGAAAGATGACACATTCACATAGCTCAAGTTTTGGACTTTTAAATTTAAGTATACCTTAGCTGCCTTGGCAGCTTAACAGTGTTTCATGCCAGTGAAGATACTGTTTGATAGTGTAAGCAAGTAGAACTGGAAACACTCAATATTAGTTTTTCTTCCGGCAGATTTCACCTTTTTATATTTTGTTTCTCTAAAGAAATTGTTGTGTTTGATATTTAGGAGAACTAATGAGCTGAAGTCAGAAATTGATATACCTGATGATGCTATTATGAAATTTAAGCAGTTCTGGTCCGACTTCAAAGATACCCCTTTGAAAGGTAGAAAAGTTATTGATTCACAAATATTTACGAGAGGGTATTAACATATAAACTTGTCTCTTTTGTGCCTGTAGCATTGCGGAATATTTAGGATATTAAAGTTTAGTTAATTGTTATTTCGGAGTGATATGATATTGTACTATGAGCTTGAGTATCTTTTTCCATTATAACTTCTTTTTATTTTCTTTCGAGAATTAAACAGGGCGAAACGCCATTCTACGAGGCATTTGCCCGCAAATCTTTGGACTCTTTACTGTAAAGCTTGCAGGTATTTGGACATCAACATCCCATTCATGTTATTTACTAGGATTTCTAGCATTCTGAATGAACTAGTTTAGGGGTTTTGGTGGTATAACCAAGAAAATAAACTGATCTGTCTGTTTGTCTTTCCCTCCTTTTTCCTTTCTGCATTTCAGTTTCTCATTCATTTCTTTTTAATATTTCCTGTATAAAAATTAATTCACATTTATTTGTTCAAAGTAGTGGCATTAACACTTATGGAGGTGTGCAACATGTTGATGCTTCTGGGACAAAGGTTCGAGGAGAGTCTCATTTGCTTTTGGTTGGTGATCCAGGTTATTTTTCTAATATTTATTTATCACTTTAGAGGTTTTCAGACCAGAATATTTTATTCTTAGAAAGGTTTAAGTCAACTAAAACTAAATGCCATGGTTCATTTTAATCACACCGTCACTTGCATTTAGCCATTTTCGTAATACAGCTTTTGATTTCATACTGTATCATGTGTGTACGTTGAGGCTGTATAAAGAGGGTAGCTTCTATGAGGCTGGATGTACTTCAAACCTATGGTTGAAATTTTAGTAACTATTTGGTTTAGACAAGTGAAAGATCTGAGATTGCTATAACTGCCCTGTTGGAGTGGAGATAGAGAAAAATAGGGAAGAGGAGAGAGAATGCAAAGGGGATATCATGGCACCAGGCCTTTCAACAACACTTAATATTATCATTCATCCCGAAACCTTGTTTTACAATTGATAGCCTTATTTATGGGCTTCAAATTGAACAACTGAAGACTTCTATTAATACTAAAAGACTCGTTAATTATAATACAAAAGACTCATCAAAATACTAAAAAACTCAACACTTAATGCCAAAAGTTTCATTCAATGACAGGAATCTTAGAAAAAAAATTAGAAGACATTGAGACCAAACACTTTAATTGACTATATTTTAGACCCAAAATTTGGCTTAATCTCTCATGATTGCTTGCTTCAATAGCTATCAGCCATAATACACACACAACTGCACATGCACGCATGTCAGAACACACACTCGCACAAATATCCCACTGAAGTCCTGTAGATGTGTTATTGGATCTTGACCAACCTTTGGACTGTGAATTATAGTCATGGACTCTATAGGTAACCGTTGGCAGCTAAAACTCTCAGGTACTGGAAAATCTCAATTTTTGAAGTTTGCTGCAAAGTTGAGCAACCGATCTGTTATTACAACTGGATTAGGAAGCACAAGTGCTGGATTAACTGTCACTGCAGTCAAGGATGGCGGTAAGTTTTCATATCTCCAGCTGAATCCTTAAGTTGTTTCTTCTAAAATAAATAAATAAATAACAATTAAAGAATGCTGAATCATTAAGTTGGCAATGGTTCCATTTAGTATGTCCTTCCATTGCTTTTTCCTCTCTATTTTCATTTATTGACAGTATGTATGTATGCAAGTGTTTTTCATCCTTCTATGTGACATGTTTGGAAATTAGTAGGATAGAAAGCATCAATGCAAGATATGACTGAGAGACATATTCATTGAGAAGAGTGTTGGTTGTGCAGTGTGTATGCTTCTACTGACAAGTTGCGCTTGTCTATAGTTGAACTTCCCCTTGTTCATGCCTATATAAGTACATAAGATCGTTTTTCCTTTTTTTTTGGGTAAAATTCATATGGGACAACATCGATCAAAGATATAGTGAACAAACAAAAATATGACTATTTCTTATTTAGCAAAGAATTACTCATTAAAAAGTTACTGTAATATATTATTTTGCTTTAAAACTGTGTGTAAAGCATCAAACTACAATAAAGAGTGATTTAATATATGAAGACACAAAAGAACATTGTTAAAGAACTGATTTGTTTTTATGTCTGGAGAATTAGCCAAACATGAAGAAAGAGTGGTTTATATTAACTTGGAAGGCATATGTGACCCTAGTTACATGTTCCATGTCAACCTAAATAGAAGAATAATGAAATACTAAAATTCTCTGATTTTTTTTAATTTTTTTAATTTTGATAAAAATCTCCAAAGGTTGATTTCATGCACAAAATTTTCAGTTTAAAGTTTTCCACTTAAATCAGATTTAGTTTGTAATCTAGATCTCTTCTAAGCATGACTTTCTATTTTTTTTTTCAAAAGAAGAAACAAAAATATTCTAAATTTCTAACCTTGGCCATGAACTTACATCATTTAATTGAAAAGCATTATTTGACCTCTATGCACTGTTTTGCTCTATCTTCCGGTACAATATTAGAGTAAATGGATTAACTATGTTTATGGAATATCTAGGCGAATGGATGTTGGAAGCTGGAGCCCTTGTTTTGGCAGATGGTGGGCTTTGTTGCATAGACGAATTTGATAGGCAAGTCCTTTGATGGCTTTTTGGAACATTTATTTCTATCCTTTTTCATCATGCATTCAAATTGGTAACACATGATTTATATGTTTTGAAGTTATGACCTTACCATGCCCTGATTCTTTTTGTCATTAATAATTCATTGTCAATAATATTATCTCTATAGTTATGCTTGTGAAAAATAACTTAGAGAAGCAACTCTGTCATTCTTGATGGAGAAAAAAGAAAATTTCAAATCTTAGATGCCTAGTTGCTTCTACTGGATTGCCCTGGATGATGATTAAGTGGGAATGGACATATGCATTTGCACTAAGCTCTATTAGACTCAGGAAATATATATATTAAACAAGGAAAGGAAATTGTAACTTCTATTCTCAAGTATTTTTAGTTTTGGAAATTCTGACAAAGTCTCAGACATTTGCATAATATAAACTTGAACTTTAGTGTTTGACCTTGAAGTTGTTTCCTTGCTTCTTGCCATATAATATCAAGTTAATTCTGCTTTGTCAGCATGCGAGAACATGATAGGGCAACCATACATGAAGCAATGGAACAGCAGACCATAAGTGTTGCCAAGGTAACATCTTTTGCTTATGTTTTATGTTAGTTGAGGAAAAATATGCTGCCCTCATGGGAAATTCTACTCTGTGTAAGGTGGGTTTAGTGTGTCAAATAGGTCAAAATCTGGCCAAACGAAATAGTGTTCTCCGCAGACTTTTTGCTAAGTTAAGCAATGCACACACACACACACACACACACACACACACACACACACACTTGGGCTAACCATAAGGTTACTCTCAAACCATCAGGTTACCTAAACCAAAGGTCTAGGTAAGCTGGCCTCAGTAGACCTAGAGCATTGGATGGTCTTCACTCTTAATGCAGACTTGATTCAGCATAAGGGTGGCCTTGGGTTGCTACAAGTTTGGAAACCATGTGGGGCAATGAAGTAGAAATTTTGCTTACTCTCACTCAGGCTATCACTCAGCTTGTTTCTTATTGTCTTTGTTCTGGTATTTTTCAGTGTTGCTCTTGAATCTTCTGTGTTTTTCTAAATATTAAAAAGCAGAATCAGCTGCAAGTCCTACAAACAACATGCACATTAATACAGATGATTTTATGTTTCTTTGATGCATTACTCTTCAGTGGAAGCTTTTTTCCTTTATTCTATCAGTGCATGCTATATTTCTGAGAAATAATACAGTAAAAGAGGATAAGGAAAGTGATGCAGAATGCATATTATTAGTTTTCCTTATTCTACTTGGATTAGTTTTCCTATTATTAGTTCTCCTAACTCTTAAAGGTTCCTTCTTGTTAAAGGATCTCTTATTAGTTCATTTGCTTTCCTATTTCTTAAAGATTACTTTTCCTTGTCCTAGGCTAAAAAGGGTTTTGTCTCTATAAATAGAGCTGTTTGTAATCTTTTAAGGCAGACTTGATTAATGATAAACTTCCTTACTTTAAACTCTCTGATTCCTTCCCTTTCCCTTCGTCTCTTCGATCTCTAATTCTTCTCTTCGATCCCTTATTTCTTCCCTGCTCTCTTGCTCTAGTGTTTACTCTAAACCTAAAGGCTATCTACTCTAAACCCACGGGCTGTTCTACATCAATTGGTAATCAGAGCCTACCCTCACTTTCGTTTGCGTTTTCTCTCTACCATGGCACCCCAAACCGTGGCCAGCCTTGCAGAACAATTTCATGCGTTCCGAGACAAAGTTTCTGACGATATCGCTGGCATGGAAACCCAACTCTCCAAACTCAGCGTTGACTTCAAAGACGAGTTGGTCCAGGCTCACACACATCGCGCTGACCTCAAAGATGAGTTGGTACAGGCTCACACACATCGTGCGCAGACGGACCTTGCCATCACCAAACTCCAAGACTCCGTTCAGTTGCTTATCAATCACTTTCGGGCTGGACGTGCTGACCCTTCTACCTCCGCGGTGCTCTCAAGTTCATCTACGCCAACACCAACGAGTGGCCTTTTGCCCAATCCACCGGTGGATCAAAAACTCAAAGCTGTGCCATACGGCATGTCGCATGGCTCACCTAGGCTCTCGCTTGATGCGCCCAAGGCTCAATTGGAGCCCCTCTTTTCTTCTGGGTCTCTGCCACCGCCCCATTATACCCAACATACAACGGGCCCTCCTCCCGTGACTACTCAGGCTCATACCATGCCACCCGTTCCACATGATCAAGCCACTTTGACAACGATGTCATCCGCCACATCAAGCCTACCGCTCCTACTTTTGATGGTCGTGGGGATCCTACGATGTTTCTTGATTGGGTTCAAGCCATGGAAGATTACTTTGCCTGGTACGACTTGACAGATGCTCATAAACTTCGCATTGGTAAGATGACGCTACAAGGAGCCGCTAGACAATATTGGAATTCTGTGGAAGCAAAACTCTACCAATTTGGACAGCCACCTGTGACTCTCTGGGACGAGATGAAATTAAAGCTTCGCGAACAATATCTTCCCACCTTTTATCGCCATCAATTGTATGACCAATTATGGACCCTTTCACAAGGAAGTTTGACCGTTACTGAATTCCATGCTCGTTTTGTCGAACACCAGATACGCGCGGGGATTCGTGAAGAACCCGACATCACTGTGTCTCGCTTTATCCATGGTCTTCGTGATGATATCAAACGTGAAGTTCGGCGGTTCCGTCCGCATACTTTGGAAGATGCATATTGCCACGCATTGGAAGCTGAAACCTTTTTGCGTCCACAACGTAGATATACAGGGCATCTTGGGCACTCTTCCACTCCTACTCCAAACCGTAGTACTCCTAGCTCTAAATATGGCGTTTCCGGCCCACCTGCTCCTACGATACCCGCAACAGAAAAAGGACCAGTCCCATCCACGGCTGCTCACATTGAATGTTATCGTTGCCATGCTAAGGGCCACATCGCCTCTCGTTGTCCCCACAGAACTTTAACCCTTGGCTCCCTCAATGAGGACTCTTGTGAGGACGAATATGTGGAGCCCCTTGAACCTGTTTATGACCCAGAACTTGACAATTGTTATGAGGAGGAGGCGTTTCACCAACTGAGTGTTATGCGTTGTATTTATTCAGCACCTACATCTCCACCTCCTGATTCATGGAAGCGCACAAGTATCTTTCAAACTTATGTCCCTTGCGGTAACAGTAGATGCCAACTAGTTATTGATGGGGGAAGTACGTTGAATGTTATTTCTAAAACTGCTGTCGATCGCCTTCAACTTCGGGCTGAGCCACACCCCCATCCTTTTCATGTTGGCTGGGTAGATAAAACCAGGTTACCTGTTACCGAAAGATGTCTTGTTCCTCTCCAATTGGGTACTTGTCATGAGCAACTTTATTGTGATATCCTACCCATGAGTGTTGCACATGTGCTACTAGGCCGGCCTTGGCTTTATGACCACCATGTGAAAAGTTGCGGCAGGGAGAACACCTATACTTTTCAACATGAGGGAAAGAACATAACACTAAAGCCTTCCAATCCGGCCATCAAACCAACTAAAGATGTTCAACCAACACTGTCACCTAAAGAGAAGGCTTATAAGCATCGGTTGAGTATTTTATCACCTGTAGACTTTGCCCATGAACTGCAAGACACTGGCGTGGTCTTTGCTCTCTTGCTTAAACCGGCATCTGATTGCACCCCCACTCCACTTGTCGAACCCATACAACAACTCCTCATTGAATTCTCTGATGTCATACCTGATGACTTACCAGATGACTTACCGCCAGCAAGAGAGATTCAGCATGCCATTGACCTTGTTCCTGGTTCGCAAATTCCTAATCTTCCCCATTATCGTATGAATCCACCTGAACGAGCAGAATTGAATCGACAAATTCAGGGATTGCTGGCTAAGGGCTTCATTCGTCATAGTTTAAGTCCTTGTGCTGTTCCAGTTCTCCTTACCCCTAAAAAAGATGGCTCCTGGCGAATGTGTGTGGATAGTCGCGCCGTAAATAAAATTACAGTTAAGTATCGTTTCCCCATACCGCGACTTGAGGATATGTTGGATGATTTGGCTGGTTCCCAATGGTTTTCTAAGATAGATCTTCGCAGTGGCTACCATCAGATCCGCATTCGGGAAGGAGATGAGTGGAAAACCGCGTTTAAAACCCCTGATGGCTTATATGAGTGGCTTGTTATGCCCTTTGGCATGTCCAATGCACCCAGCACGTTCATGAGGGTGATGACTCATGTGTTACGACCTTATATTGGTAAATTTCTGGTAGTTTATTTCGATGACATACTTATATACAGCCACTCTCATGAGGAACATCTTCAACATCTTAGGACGATATTCCTTACTTTACGAAAGGAAAAACTTTATGCCAACTTAAAAAAATGTTCGTTTCTTCAACCACAAGTTTTATTCTTGGGGTTCAATATTTCTGCTGCTGGGGTTAGCACAGATCCTGCCAAGGTGGAGGCTATTACTGGTTGGCCAACACCCACGACTCTGACAGAGGCACGCAGTTTTCATGGTCTTGCCTCTTTTTATCGACGTTTTATTCCAGGGTTCAGTACTATTATGGCACCAATAACTGATTGTATGAAACAAGGTGCTTTTCTTTGGACCTCTGCGGCTGCCAAGGCCTTTACAATTTTGAAGCAGAAGATGACTCAAGCACCTGTTCTTCGACATCCTGATTTGACTAAAGTCTTTGAAGTCGCATGTGACGCTTCCGGAGTTGGGATTGGTGGTGTGCTTAGCCAAGAAGGACATCCCATAGCATACTTTAGTGAGAAACTTAATGAAGCAAAGCAGCGTTATTCTACTTATGATAAGGAGTTTTATGCTGTGGTACAAGCACTTCGGTATTGGCAATATTACTTACTGCCGAACGAATTTGTGTTGTATTCAGATCATCAAGCTTTGAAATATCTGCACTCTCAACGCACCATTAGCAGTCGACATGTTAAGTGGTCCGAATATCTCCAGATCTTTACATTTGTTTTACGACACCGTCCAGGCATTGACAATAAGGCAGCCGATGCCCTTAGTCGCATGGCTAGTATTTTGCACACAATGACAGTTCAGGTAACCGGGTTTGATCGTATTAAGACTGAGTATTCGTCTTGTCCAGATTTTGGGATTATTTTTCATGAAGTTTCCAATGGTAACCGTCGCGAATATGTGGACTTTATTATGAGGGATGGGTTCCTATTTCGAGGAACACAATTATGTATTCCCCGTACATCTCTCCGTGAATTCCTTGTTTGGGAACTACATGGTGGCGGCCTCGCAGGACATTTTGGCAAAGACAAGACTATTGCCTTGGTGGAAGATCGTTTCTATTGGCCGTCGTTAAAACGTGATGTTGCTCATCTCATTTCCCAATGTCGTACATGCCAGCTAGCTAAAGCTCGCAAACGTAACACAGGTTTATATACCCCTTTGCCGATACCTCATGCCCCATGGAAGGATCTTAGTATGGATTTCGTGCTTGGCTTACCTAAGACTAGTCGTGGCTATGACTCTATTTTTGTCGTAGTTGATCGTTTCTCCAAAATGGCACATTTTCTGCCTTGTGCTAAAAATACTGATGCTTCTTATGTGGCCAAGTTATTCTTTAAGGAAGTAGTCCGTTTGCATGGGCTCCCCGTCTCCATTGTTTCTGATCGCGACGTCAAATTTGTTAGTTATTTTTGGAAGACTTTGTGGAAGCTCTTCGGTACTACTTTGAAGTTTTCTTCTGCTTTCCATCCCCAAACAGATGGTCAAACTGAGGTGGTTAATCGCAGTCTTGGTGATTTACTCCGCTGTTTAGTTGGGGATAAACCTGGTAATTGGGATCTTTTATTGCCTGTGGCTGAGTTTGCTTATAACAACTCAGTTAATAGAAGTACCGGTAAGAGTCCTTTTGAGGTTGTTCATGGGTTTTCTCCCCGATCACCTGTTGATTTAGTTGCTCTTCCTGTGGCTGCCCGCGCATCAGATTCTGCTACATCATTTGCTGAACATATTAGGCAACTACATGATGATGTCCGTAGGCAGATATCCATGCACACCGACACTTATAAACTAGCAGCCAATGTTCATCGTCGTCAACAAGAGTTTCAGGAAGGGGATTTTGTTATGGTGCGTATTTGTCCTGAGCGTTTTCCTAAGCAATCTTTTAAGAAGCTTCATGCTCGTTCGATGGGTCCTTATCGTATCATTAGAAAGCTTGGCTCCAACGCTTACTTGCTTGAGTTGCCTGCAGATATGCATATAAGTCCCATTTTCAATGTTTCTGATTTAACTCCTTATCGGGGAACCTTTTCTCCACCTATTTCTATGGATGCTGCTCAGGGTTCCGCTCCTTCTATGGTGCCGCGTCTTCCTGCTACTAGTTCTGCCATTACAGATCAGATTGAGGACGTCTTGGATCATGAAGTTGTGGCCTCGTCTACTGGAGGTTCTACCCGTTATCTGGTTCGTTGGGTTGGAAGACCTGCTACTGAGGATACTTGGATTACAGAAGCTGAATTTCGCCAGTTGGATCCCACTCTTCTGCACAATTATCAGGATGCTCTTCATGATCTTGATTTGGCTGCATCCCGTCCTCCCATCATCCATACTTACAAACGTCGTCGTCATCCTTAGTCTTGGTTTACTCGCCGGTGTCGAGTTCTTTTTCGATGGGGGAGAATGATGCAGAATGCATATTATTAGTTTTCCTTATTCTACTTGGATTAGTTTTCCTATTATTAGTTCTCCTAACTCTTAAAGGTTCCTTCTTGTTAAAGGATCTCTTATTAGTCATTTGCTTTCCTATTTCTTAAAGATTACTTTTCCTTGTCCTAGGCTAAAAAGGGTTTTGTCTCTATAAATAGAGCTGTTTGTAATCTTTTAAGGCAGACTTGATTAATGATAAACTTCCTTACTTTAAACTCTCTGATTCCTTCCCTTTCCCTTCGTCTCTTCGATCTCTAATTCTTCTCTTCGATCCCTTATTTCTTCCCTGCTCTCTTGCTCTAGTGTTTACTCTAAACCTAAAGGCTATCTACTCTAAACCCACGGGCTGTTCTACATCAGAAAGTTAGGATTCAATGAATTTCAAATTGCTATAATAGATGCTATTATGCACTACAGATATTGGATTGCCCGTGCTGTTTCCATGTACTTTATTTATCTATAACATGCTTCAATTTCTATCCATGTGTATAGAACTATTTTCTTACCCCTCGCGCTTATAGACAACATGTATAAATTTTCTGTTTGTTTGAAATCCTGTATAGAAGTCTGCAGCCTATACTATTATTGATTGTTTAAAAAAAAAAGTTCTATTCTATGTTTACTCAGAGCTGACTATTCCTCTCTCTCTCTCTCTGTATCTCTCTTTGCTAGGCAGGTCTTGTGACAACTCTCAGTACTAAAACAATTGTTTTTGGTGCAACCAATCCCAAGGGACAGTATGATCCTGATCAATGTATTACTTACATTCAGAAGATATTGTTAGTTGGATTTGTTTGTCTAGATTATGGTTTTCTGATTATGCACATCTGTCATTTGTGGAAGACTATAAACTTTCTATTTCTTGAATTACTTGGAATATCTAACGGAGATCATTATTGCTATTCTTAAATTTTAGCCTGTAAAAAACACATTTCTTCTAAAATAGTAGTCGCTCAGCTTATCCTAAACTTTATTCTCTTATTTTCATCTTGTAGCTCTGTCTGTCAATACGGCACTCTCTGGTCCCTTATTGAGCAGATTTGATATAGTCCTTGTACTCTTGGATACAAAGAATCCTGAGTGGGATGGGGTCGTGTCATCTCACATTCTTTCTGAGGTAATCTGCTCTTAAGATCGTGTAAGTGTCACCCTGTTGTCTTGCAGCCATTTGGATGAATCTAATCATGATATTTTCTCCTTTTTACTAAACCACTTCAGGGAGAACCAGACAAAGGCAAGCAGGATGAAGATTTAGCAAACATCTGGCCATTTCCTATGCTCCGCAGGTAAAATGTTTTCTTTAGTTGAAGAGAGCTTAAATTCAAACCCTGATTTTCTATTTTCCAAAAAGTTGTCTATGTATAAATTATTTTTCTGGTTAAGCCCAAGTGGTGACGGAAGGTGGGAAATGGGTTAAGATCAGGCTAGGTCAAGGGTTGAAATCCCTTCCATTGTTTTCGTTAAAAAAATATATATATATATCCCTTCTATTGTAACAACAAATATTATTTTTGTGCTTTCTCATGTTTGTTATTTTCAATAAGTAAAAATTAGAAACATCAACAAGGAGTTAGATGAGTTGTCAGGCTTGTGGTTTACCTCCCATGTGTTATGGGGTTCTATATCTCATGGTACCTAGCCAGCTATTTGCTAGAGTTTCATAGTTCCCAAAGATTGTTAGGTTTGAAGGGGGGCCAGTTTGAATCTGAGTCTGCCAAGCAGATTTGGGGGATTTCTGGGTAGTAAAAAAGGAAAAAAAGAGAAACAAAGAACAAGTAGAAACTTCTCAGAATGTACACTAACATATCGAATGATAAAGAGATAAATCCATGTTTGTAGAAGCATAGATGAGGCCAATTTTCAGAAAACTTGGCTGACAACTTACGTATTTCTCCTGGAAATTGTTAGGTACTGGTTAGTGTACTAGTACTACTATCTGCCTACAAAAGCAGTTGATTAGGTAAAAGCTTGTGATTTTTGTCTTTTCTATGCTAGTTTTTCCTTTGAGGAGGTGAAGAAGTAGACTTTTGCATCACCTGTTTATAATGGAGAGTATCCCGCCAAAAAACTATTAGCGATCATTATGTATTGTAAAGATGATTATCTTATTTATGTGTCAATACCTGTATAAATGTGGCCAGCTGTAATATAATAAAAGGGACTCAAGTATTATGCTTTGCAACATATAGGGTATTGTTAAAACTTTCCTAAAAGAAAAATACATTTAAAATAGTATGCATAGCATCTTTGGATGACCCTTAGTTACTCTACGAATACACACATGCTTGCACGTGTAAATATTATTGCGCATATGGCAAAGGGTGCACTTGTTATGGGATCAAATGCTCTTCTCTTATGGTTCAGGGATGGGCTACAAAATAGGACGTACCTTCCCTCCTACTTTGTTATTTTGTACTGCTCTTTTGTCAGTTCTGTCATCTATTCAACCCAATTTGGTCGATATTTGGTGCAATTTCTATCTATACTTGACTGTGTGCTCTGATGATAAAACAAACATAAAATTTAAGAAATGGAGAATCAACTGAGTCATGTACTACCTTATATGGCTTTCATATATATAAAGTCAATGAATAATTCCCTAAAAATTCGCCCTAGAAATAATCCAAATTAGCTCAAACAAATAAACTAAATCAGCTAAACCAATCTGGCAAATGAACTCAATCATCCCACACCATAAGGCTTTTCATATCCTGCATCAACATCTTTCGAAATCATTAAAATATCAGAACTATCTATGTCTGAAAGCATGAACTCCTTAAGGTACTATAGTCAACAACCAAAATCCCCTTAATGGAGGTGTTCTCTTCTGTTTCACCGATATGTTTCAAGTAAATTTTGTGTCCGACGCCTTGCATCAAATTCTATGTTCCTTTTTTTGAACAAATCTTGCAGATATATTCACTTTGTAAAAGGGTACTTCAGACCAGTCCTTACAAGGGAAGCTGAAATAGTCATCTCTAGCTATTATCAACTCCAAAGAAGATCTGCAACTGGCAATGCAGGTTCCACCTTAAACAAGTTCCCTTTGTTAAATCTGTCTGTTTTTGTTCTATCCAATTAGTTTCGCAATCTTTTGTGACTCAGCGAGGACAACTGTGCGCATGCTTGAAAGCTTGATACGCCTAGCTCAAGGTACATTAATTTCTTTGTGGAGCAAATATCTTAACTCAATCTCCCGTTTCACTCCCTAAGATGTTGAATGGGCCTATATTGCAGCACATGCAAGACTGATGTTCAGAAATGAGGTCACTCGTTTGGATGCGATTACAGCCATTTTATGCATTGAATCATCCATGACTACCTCGGCCATCGTAGACAGTGTTGGAAATGCTCTGCATTCGAATTTCACCGAGAACCCTGATCTGGAATGTATCCTTGCCAGCTATTTGTGCATGCATTTTTCTTTTGTTAAGTTCTGTCCTTGCATATTCATTTTGTATGTGCATGCTAAAATGTTAAGAAGCAGATAAATAATTTTGACATGCCCTAAAAACTGAACTGAATAGAGTGTTGTGGAGAGGACTTTCACTTGACCCATTATTCCTATCTGTCTAGTGTGGTCAGGCAACAGAGTTGGTGTTTGTTTCCTCCGGTTTAAGGCCAATTTTGTGGACCCTTATTGGTTCTTAGCCGTGCTATTAAAGTCAAGTGTAGGGAAGCTATATTGGTTGCCGCTTTGGTGTATAGAGCAATTAAAACAGCTAAAATTTGGAAAGGTAAAGGCGAATATGGGTGTGGTTGGAGGTTGTGTAGCTAATTTTTTTGCTTTTCGAGTTGTGTTAAAATATATGGGGGGAGAGTGAGAGCTTAGATTCTTTATATGCCTTTTGCAGTAAAATCATATTGTTGGATTTATGTGCTAGTAGAGGCCTTTTCAGAAAAATAAGAACTGAAATCTTTAATTAATTAATTGGTATATTTTAGAGTCTTAGCGTGCAGTTATCCAAAGATTGCTATTGATCCCTTGACTATACATCTGATAGATGCCACACAAGAAAGACTGATCCTTGAAAAGCTAAGATCATTTGATGATTTCCCTGATGCAAATACCAGGCGATAAGCTTGGCAGGTGCGATGCTTCGAAAGCCTTATGTACAGATGACAAACTTAACATCTTGTATTCTTTTCTATGGAATTAATTACGTACTTTTTAGAGTTTTCATACTGGTTGATTTTGCTGTATTAATTGATGCTGAAGTACATTGAATGGTCAGTAAATTATGAACATTCATTCCCAATGTTCATTCATTGATAAGTATTAGTAGATTATGAATGTACAATCTGAATGCAACTATTAGTTCATTTTTCATGTACATTTCGAATGAAAACCCCGAATGTACATTATTTAATGGATGTGTAGACTGTAGAGTAGAACTTTAGGCCCATTAATAAGACCCTTACAACTTGAGAAAACAGTAAAATTTTCAATCCTTATAATCACAGTTTATATTTTATAGAAGTCTTTGCAGCTTCTTTCTATTCTCTCGAATATTCAATGTCCTAGAGAAGATTTATCTTTAAGAATCCAGGTTTTTATTCTGTGTTTCCATGACATATCTATTGACAGAGTTTATGCTGCAAACTCAGAAGCTTCTGACCTGCTTCCTCTGATATATTTGGATTGGCTGCGCCACCTAAATGAATAATAATTCATTTGTTATTTGTTGATTTCCTCGGCGAATCTAATATTTGAAAATGGTTGCGTTCCAATAATCCATTATAAATATGTGATGATGCAGAGAATATGAATATGTGAGACATAAGTTGCAAACCCTCATTCACGTTGTGCCAGATGAATCATGCTATATAAAATTTGCACCATGTTTAATTTTTGAAAGGATTTTGCAAAGGTGAGTCACCCATGCGCATGCCTGATTCTTTTATGGTTAATGAGATTAGAGTACCACATGCATCAATAGTTAGAAATTGCCAACAGGCGCTTGGACGACTGACCGAAGTGTAACTCGTTAATAGTGAAGAAATGAGTCTAATTTTGAGAAATCATGGACTACCGGATTCCTCAAATTTATCCTTCTCGAGAGAAGGGCAAGGCAGTGATAAGCTGAAACACTTGTACTCAAAATCTGTGGTTAGCAACTATATGATTTGCACCACTGCAAATAGATTGATGTGGTCTTTGAATTCGTACATTTGCGTGCTGCATTTACCCCTGAAAAGAAAGAGGTCAAGAGCAAGATAAGTAAGGCCATCTCCAATAGTGGAATAAATCCTCATATTTAGCATTTTCACTCTCAAAATCCATCTTCAGTAAGTAGGCTAAATGTCCCATGTCACTAGGTCAAACCCAGTCAATTGGCCAAAAGGGCCAAATGTGGGCTAAATTTTATGGGTGGACTATGTTTAGCTTTCCACTGCTAGAGATGGCCTAACTAATTTTGACAAAATAAAAATAAAATAAAAGAAAGAAAAGAAAAGAAAAGAAACTAGCAGTTTTAACGACAAAGACTAAAGTTAACAAAGTTATAACTTTTGGGTGGGGGCCTAGCCCCAATGGCAAGTTTGCTATTATAAGTGCTTTCTATGTCCAATTGCAAGAGGAGATTATCCACCTTGAAGCAGATCTCCTGAAGAAAAAGTGGAGGATCACTATGCCTCCTAAGGTAAAGCTTTTTTCCTAGTTATGTATCAGAAAGAGACTCCAAGTGAGAAATCATTTGCTCAGATTTCTTCCTCATGTTAACCTTGAGTGTCCTTTGTGCAAAAATCAAAGTGAAAACTATCAATCATCTATTTTTCAAGTGCCCTTTTGCTATAAGCATCTAGAGATGTACCTCACCCCTCTCAATATCTATCCCGCAGGATTTTAATGGTGTTTCTTGGTTATCCACCCTCTCTAGTAATGATGGCCCGGACGCTCTTATTAAAGCCTTACTGATTTGCTGGCAAATTTGGGACCCTCGTAACAAATGTGTTTTCCAAAACGTTTCCCACATCTTGCGAGAGTCCTACATGTTGCTGGTCAAATTGGTATGGACTATTGGAAACTTAATTTCAAGTCTTCCTCTAGTGTGCAACATCTGAAGAACATTAAATGGTAGCCGCCTTCCATGGATTGGGTCAAAATTAACTTTGATGGTTCTGTTCGCAATAATAAGGTTGCTACAGGTTTTATTATTCGGGATTGGAATGGCCAGGCCATGTGTTACTTGCTGGTGCCAAAAATGCTAGTCAAGCTTCAATAAGAGTTGCGGAGTGTCTTGCTTTGCATGATACCCTTGCCCATGCAATTCATAATGGGTGGCGCAAGATTTGTGTGGAATGAGACTCTAAATTGGTTATTGATTGCATCAACAAGGTCTCTATTCCTTGGAGTATTTTATTGTTTGTTCATTCATGTCTTTCGAGAAGCCAATTTTACGGTAGATGCTGTCGCTGACTTAGGCCATGGCCTCTCCATTTCCCGTGTCTAGGGGCATGGTCTGCCGCTAAACTGTTCTTTTCCTTTATATTTTGATTTATTTAGGCATGCGTGCCCCCTGATTTCCTTTTGTGGATTGTTCTTATTTCCCCATAAAAAAATAAACAAAACTTTAGTTGGGTCGGATTTATGCACATTACAATAATCAGGTACCAAATTAAAGCAAATGAAAGTTCGTGTACAATCATGTTTGGACCTTGTTTCTGTATGATTGACTGAGCTTGAGAATTATGGAAATTTCGATAATTGTATATTTGTTTTTGGTCAATCGAACAGATTGCGGAAGTGAGGAATTTGCTGCTACATGTGAATGTGCGTTGTGTTTGTGCCAAAGTGCAGGTATTTGGGTATGACTGGAATCAAAAGCATTGCTACTTTTCACTGTTGGAACAAGGGCTTCTGGGCAGTGCTTATCAGCCATAGTAACGAGAAATTCTTTGGTCTGGTAGGTGGACCATGTCACCGGTTTGGTCACAGACAAGCAAGGGTCACTCTCTACATTGGGGTAGGACCAGTTCGGGGTCATGTGGAACACGAATCCAGGGGTCCCCCTTTTGCGTTGTGGTTGTACGGGTGATATCATCAATCCACCGGACCAAAGAATTTCTCCGTAGTAAGGCCATCTCTAACCATAGGGTGCCAAACTCAATATTTGGGAATTTAACCCAAAAAGCTATCCAACCAGTGTATAGCAAGAGTCTAAAATTTTGCCTAGCTATGTTCCGGACGGGAATTTAGTGGAGCCGACACCCAAGTCAATTGCAGCCCACAAAGGAAAGGACGAAGCAAGCAAGGGCTAACGGCCACTTTCGCATAAAGGGAGCGAACCGTGTCGCGTGTTGGGCATTTAGCCATTGCCATCAAAACAATGTGCATGTTTTGAATTTCACTAGCTTAGATTAAAATTTGGCAATTTCATCATATTGAAGGAGATTGTGTGAAGGAGAATGAGATTGAAGGAGATTGTGTGTTTGGTTGGATAGAGCAACTCTTCTTAAATAGACAAGGGGATGGAGGTTGGAAAGGATGATGAGAGGAAATCATGATAAGATATAAAGAGATAATGTGTAGGGTAAACAAAGATTCTCACTCAGAAAATAATGGGAAGATGACAAAACGAGATAGCCTATGTGTCTGATTATAATATAATGAAAATAGGAAAAATGAGGGAATCCATTAAAGTGATATAAAGAGAGATAGACAAGGGTTCAGAACATGATTAAAACAAGACAATAGGAGATGAGCAATTAAGGAGGAATAGTTGATCTGATTGCGATTATGTTCTTCCTTACTGCATCCAAAAATAATCTTACAATTTTACAATTCCTACTCATGTGCTAATTCTATATGGTTAGCAAACAATTTAATTGGAATTTTCCCGTACCAATTCCTTATTCCCCCATTCTTCAATTCCTTACTTCCTTCATTTCTAGTAAGTAAATACGTGATCATTGTAGTTGTTATTTCAACGGCAGATCTAATAGTAGCAAACTACATTTTGGATATGCACTTTTCAAGAGCGTTGTTACTACTTGTTTGCAGTGGGATACAATCAACGGGGACAAGAAATCGATATCCCTAAGGCTAATTCATAATTACTGCTTGTTGCTCCTCTTGGAATTGAAAATGCCAAAACTAATGACCGAGGTGCCATTACTTCAGGTTTTGCTTAAACGTTCTACTAGCAATAGCGTTACTTTTCCTATTCCAATAACGTGGGTACCGGCAACCATCTTCAAATATTCCTATTCCTTTCCTATTTTCCATTATTCCAGTTAAATCGATTGCGAATTAAGTATAGCATGCCCAGCCCTAATCAAACCATCAGTTCGGTATAGTCGACACACAAATTTTTCTGATCGAATGCTCACCCCTAGATTCGAAACAAGACTAGGGTATAACATGATGCTTGGAATAAACCATAATAAGTAATTCAAAAGAGAGAACTCTTTGCTTCATATACAGGAGAGGTCCTATGGCTACACAATAATTCAAACTGTGGCCGGACCTATGGTTTATAGGTTTCCGGCAAAACAATTATTCACCTCTCAATGTTTGTCATTACACTTATGCAAAAGTAAAGTGGAGCTAAAATTAAAATAAACTAATCACTTTGAAATCTTGTATGTGATAAAATGATGGTCTCAATTCCTGCCCTCAAAATAATACGCAGGGAATACCAATAATCTTCTTGCATGGAAAATGAAAATCAGTAGAGGCCCAAAAATTTCCACCAGAACGATCCTACTACTGCCCAGATGACAGCATTAATAATGGCCATCACAAAGCCCAATTTGAATACATCAGGAAGATCAACATAACCAGCTGTTGGAAAGAAGAAACAAAATCTTATCAGTCATCACCGAGAACATATTCTACTAAAGACAATTCAATGTTTTTCATGCTTGACCATAGAGTGCTTAGAGAGAGAGAGAGAGAGAGAGAGAGGGAAAATAAAATTTTCCAATAATTGTTATTTTTTTTTCAAAGGGGATTCAATGAAGCAACTGTTATTGGAGAACAGATGAACATTACAAAAATGCAATTGATTACAAAAAAAATATTCTGAAGTTAAGCAAATGAGGTCAGAAGGGAGCATACCTCCGTAGTATACAGCAGCCTGACCGCTGCTATAATGCGTTATAGCCCCAAAAAGATTTGTATTATAAGCTAAAGCCAATGCTGCCAACACGCCAGGTACCCCAGCTGCCAAGTGCATGGCAAGAAATGCAGAGTATAAAGCACCCACATGACCAGTTTGACTTGCAAACAGGTAGTGGATGGAGAAGTAAGCTGCCTGAAGAACACAAAATGCAGCTGGCCAGCTCAAAGAGTAAGACTGGAGGGTATTGGCTACACTATTAGACATCCAATTTACGATACCAAGGTTTGTCAATTGGCCAGCCATACCCACTAGAACAGAAAACCAAGCCAACGTATCCCATGCTGATTTTTCACTTAAGCAGTCATCCCAATCAAGGACTCCTAACAAAAGGAGTATAGATAAGCCAATCATTGCAGTTACAACACTTGCTATACCAAGAGAATCTCTGCAAGAGAACCAAAAAAAGAGTTGGTGAATCAGAAGATTCAGAATCCTAGTAGGACAAAATGCATTCTTGGGAAATCATGAACAGAAAATATCTATATCTATTATATAATGGATTTGCTATTGTCAACAATCACTATAAGAAAATCTAGCTGGGTTGAAAAATGTTGCACTAAAGGAGACCTTATGAGGAAAAATTATAATTCAAATAAGAATGGGTAAAACACATTTTTGGTCACTGCGTTTAGACCCAAAATCACATTCGGACACTGTGATTTCAAATTTATCAATTTGGTCACTTTGTTTGATTTTGTTAGCAGTTTTAAGTACAGTTCAAATTCGGTAATTGATTACATAGAGCCCGAATTTTCAATTTGGCGCAAAACAATCTGTTTGTTTTCGAAAAATGTTGTTGAGGGATTGAAAGGCTCCCTTACGGGATTTCTAAAACTAATTTTAATTTTTGTGTTTATTTGATAGAATGATTGAGTCTCAAAGAATTCTGAGGATTTCAACTCCAAGTTTAAGATTTCTTCGGTTTTTGTTTGAAAGACAAATTTAAGGCTAAAGACATGGTTTTCGGTCATCCTCGAGTAAAACCCAAGAGTTTCAACAAGTTTTTGCTTATCATTTGAAGCCAATTTGACAAAGAAACAAAATTTGATGTTGGGTCCAAGTTTTTTTTGGCTGTAACCTCATGTTTGACAACTTATATCTTCCATTATAGTTGAAGGTTATGAAGAATCTCTACCTGAATTTGAAGCTCTTGTTACAATCTTTAATACACCTACAATATTGTTTTTTAAAATTAAATTTTTACTACTACGATTATAACACTTAAAACAAGCTCATTCTCACTGTTGAATAAGTTCATAAAATCAGATCTTTTATGAAACCACAAACGAACACAGTAAGTTCGTGGAAATAAAGGTCCAGAAAATCCAACGTGTTTAACCCCCAAAAAGAATACATAACAACAAAATTATACTTAACCCACTAAACATGACTTTGATGAATAACATCTGTCGGGAATAGAATTGAAAGTTTCCGAAAAAGGAGCTTATATGACAAAAGAATATTATTGTAATCACTAAGTCGATGGAAGCATCCCAAGCAAAGTCTTATTCTAAGTGCAGAATATAAAGATTGCCAAAACAAAGAATATGCAATTATGATCTACAGGACATGTAAAATTAATAATGAATAGTGCTAAGCAAGAAAAGCTACATACCCGAAGACCCACAAAGAGACAGCAAGAAGCATTGTGCCAACCATAATGAATTCATGTTTTGTGACAGGACCCATATGTTCGAGTTTCTTTGTAGCCATGGCAGGGGCATCAGGTGTGTCTTTGGTTTCTGGAGGATAAAGCTTGTATAAGACTAGTGGAGTAGCTAGAAGCGAAACAATTGCTGGTAAGCTAGCAGCCTTGAACCAAGAAACCCAAGGGCTTGAAATTATCAACCCAAGTTCCTCAGCTAATTTAAGGCACAAAAGATTTTGCGCTGCAGCCGTTAAGAAAAGAGCACTAGAGTTACCCGCAGACTGTCATGCATCACACAACACAGATGCATAAGTCACATAATAATCACATGATGACACAAATATGCTAATGGATCCAAGGACAGAATATCTAAAACTTAATGCTGAATTAACGAAATAGAAAGGAAACTATAGATCTTGTAATTTAGATACAGTGGTTCTCTTATTTCAAACATGAGTGCCTGCCCTTTCTTCAAGCAGACCACATGTTCCAAACACAGTCCAGGATAACCGCAATAACCAAATGCACAGATAAGACACAGAAGTTTTAAATCCGCAGTTTGATTAGTTCAACGATCCACATTTAAATTTTAATACAATCTACTGACGCAGGAAATGAGAAAATTAGACAGAGTGTTATGGTCTTCTTTGCAATTTGGCTACATACTACAATCTCTACCATGAAAATAACTTATATTCTCAGTGAGTATCCTTAAAAGGAACCAATCAAACTCACTGGTTTCCAACTATTGCAATGCTTCATGACTCCTAGGATTTGGGCCAACATTACAAGATAGAAATCACATTGAAGAAGCACAGAGTAAACTGCAAAGGTATATGTGGCTTACGGGGCACATTTAAACATATCATGTAAACAGAGTACTTAAGGCCTACTTCTAAGGGCACAATCTACTGCATTTCCCTTAAATCTTTCATTTAGTAAACTGCAAGCATAATACTTAAACCTAAAATGTTGATAACTTGTTGACTTAGAATACCCTCAAACCATTAACTGGTCTAACCAAGTAATGAAAAAAAAATGTGAATTATGTTCCATGTGAAACACCCACGAACTAGAGAACATATAAGCAGAGACAGATTCATATGATCCTATGTGAAATATATTTAACAATACAAGGGAGTAAAATCACAAACCTGAAATTGAGACATAATCAGATAAGAACCCAGCTTTCGTTTCGAGGGGTGATCGTGTTTACTCCCGGCAGAGAGAGACAAGGACTTAATAATAGGCAAGAAAACACCACCAGCCCTGGCCGTGGTACTCGGCATTGCCGGAGCAATAAGTGCCTCGCTTATTGTCAACCCATAAGACAAACCCAGTGTGCTTTTCCCCAACCACTTCACAAAATAAGTGGCAATTCGATCCCCCAAGCCGGTCTTCACGAACCCACGAGCGAAGAAGAAGGAAATAACAATCAACCAGATCACCTCATTGGTGAAAGCACTAAACGCCGTCGTAAAGGGCAGAGTTCCGGTGACAATGGAGGATGTGAGGCCGAGAAAGGCCCAAGCGCCGACGGGCAATGGGCTCAGAACCAGGCCGGCAATGGTGGATAGGAAAATGGCGAGCAATTGCCAGGCTTGTGGGGAGACTTCGACTGGTTTGGGGACCAAGAAGCGCACGACAAGGCCTATGGCGACGGAGATGATGAAGGGGATTGGCTTGGCGCCTAGAGGGGGCTCTGGTGGTGGTTTGAGAGTGGTTTGGGGCTGTGGAGATTGAAAGGCTTGAATTGGGAAGTGGGTTTTGTTGGGTTTTGAGGGAGAAGAGAAGGAGATGGGTTCGGAGGCAAAGAGGGTTGGTGATCGGAGGGCGGGAGATGAATTGGGGCTTTTGGAGATGAAGGGTGGGGATTTGAGAATGGGGTTTGAGCGGCGGAAAAGGGAAGCGCGAGTGGAGAGAGAGAAGGAGGAGGTGGAGAGAGAGTGGAGGGCAAAGCTCTCCATTGTTGCTCACTTGTTAGAGAGAGAATGAGAGACAGAAATGAATGAGAATTGGAATTGGGAAGTGGGGTGATGAGGGAGAGAGAGAATTTTTGGTGTATTTTTGTGGGAGGAGCGGAACTCCCAAAGACGGGAGAGAAAAAGACAGACAGACGGAGACAGAGAGGATGCTGGTGTGAATATGTAGGAGTGAGTCTGGTGAGCACCCGATGTGAGGAGGGAATTCAATGGTTTTATTTTTTTATTTTTTATTTTTTCTTTCCTTTTATTTTTATTTTTATTCAGTTTTTTTATTTTTCTTGATATAAGAGCATGGCTAGAATAGAAGACGTGCAATGGGTAGGGGTTAGGGGTTATCCTGGCCTCTCAAAATTGTATCTACTCCCTCAAAATCTTTGTTGTTTTTAGCGGTTAGGGGTTAGAGTTCAAATTTATTTATTTTATTGTGAAATATCAATAATTATATGACTGTCCATTTGGGATCAATTGGTAAAACTCCTTAATGATGTATGTTGTGAAATTATTACAAGCGCACAATCCGCATAAGTAATATAGAGATAAGTGAATTGTCGTTCCCACGAAGACAATAATTTACTTTTAAGTACCAATTATGATTAATTCATAAGTTTATTTGAATAATTGATTAATGTGAGTGATTGATTTGTTAAACTAAATTACAACAAATATGAAAAATAACAATTTAATTAACAGTGGAAAATCAAGTTGATGAGACACAAGCATTCGATTTTACCATAATCAGTTCCATTTAATTCTTATAGCCAATTAACTTAATTATTACCCATGTTGGCAGTTGGTTTCTCTTAATTCATTCGATATCCCCTCTCGGGCTCAACCAAAAGTATTCTTAATTAACAACTCATTCTCTCTTGAGCAATGGATTTAGAAAATCAAGACCCTATTAAGTTCTATGAGAACCTGCAAGAAAATTGCATGAGTCATGTTAGTCCCTCTCGGGTACTCATTCAAGACATGATATTTGTTATGAGAAGAAAACATCAAACATCTCCTCTCGATCTCCGCTTGGATCATCAAATCAATTAAATACTGGCCATATATTAAAAGCATTAAGAACATTAACAAATACTCAACATGGAATAGTAATAAGAAATTAATATAACTATAAAAATTAAGTATTCATGGTTACTAGTGAGGAAAATTAGTTCATGACAAAAGAAAAGATAAACAAGAGAATTGTTGTCATAAAATTGATTTGACAGATGGATTTGATATGTGGATTCTCCACAGCAACATCTTCGTAAGCTCCAAAAGCACTGCAGCAACAAACTCTTAGCTATCTCTTTAATGTATTTATGGGTGTATGTGTAAGGATTGTAATTGTTGCTTTGTTTGGCTCTTCTCTTTTTTGGAACAAAACCATTGTAATCTCCTTAGATCTTTGAGATAGTCTCTAGGTTAGATTCAAGTGGTTGCTGATTTCCAAAGATCTCTTTGGTGAAGAACAGGTAAGAACCTTGTGCATACATTCACATGGATTGATACAACTTTAAAATCATTTTATGTTTTTCATTTTGTATCAATCCTCTCCTATCTGTTTTAAATCCATCCATTACTTAGCATACATTAGCAGAGTTTGATATACATGGATTGATACACTTTAAAATATGTTTTATGTTTCATTATGTATCAATCCATCCTATATCTGTTTTAATCCGTCTATTGCAGAAATTAATTAATAGTTTATTGCAAATATCTTTCCTGCACTTGATTTCTGAAAAACATAAAAAAGGATTATCATCTGCCTCTTGCACTCTTATCAAGTCAATCTTTTTTGAAACCAAGTTCCTGACTGAATCTATTTTTTATATTGATCTCCTCTTTCTTGAAACTGGCTGTTCAGTTCTCTATATCTACTAAACTTAGTTTTATGAAGAGGAAGGAATATTAAGCATTTGGCATCACATTTTAAACTCAGCCTTTTACTATGCTTCCATGTTCATGTTTTTGAAAGATCATCATATCAGTTTTTAAACATTCAAAAACTTACTTCAGTCATCTTGAATTCTTGAGAGTTATGAGTATGATTGCATACACATAAAACTTACTCCAAGTTTATTCTCACTTTTATTAAATGACTGCTTTGGTTTCATTATTGTATTTATGATTAAAACCTTGTTTCAAAGTTCAAACATCTTTTGGTTTTAATTCATAACTGTACACGGTTTCTTTTATCTAGTTCAATCATTTGTATGATTGAGATAGATGAATTTTATGAAACCAAAACTCACTTCATAACATCATATCGGGAGCAACTTATGCTTGGTGTTGTTGCGAGGTCGAGAAAAGAATCCGTTGCTGTGAAGTAAAGAAATGGTGCTTTGCTAGAAGGTTAGATAGTTAGCTGCCTATTGTGTGTAGTTGAGCTAATATCCCTATATTTCTTGTACTTTACAATTGAGTGGATTGAATCTTTTCCTGGCTTGGTCCCCCAGTTTTTCCCTTATGGGTTTCTGGGTTAACAAATACTGTGTTATTTACATTATTGCATTTACCTTGGTTACTTGATCACCACAAGCAATATTTGTGTTTAATGTCTTTTGTCACTAAGTAATTTTTAAATTGGTGAGCTTTTATCATAAAGCCTACTTCACCCCCTTGTAGGTTTTATAAGAGCTAAGCTCCTATTTTATAGTATGAAATATGGTAGAAGATAAATGGTATGAAGATCCTCCATAGAGAGAGCTTAGGGTGACCTTATATAGTGTAAAACAACTAAACCCTACTCTAAAAATGTTTGGAAAAACTCTCCTAAACCAAAACAAAATCCCAAACAATTAAGGAAACAAACTAGGAAAGAATCCTTCTTTGACTTGGAAACACGTTGTAGGGGACTTTTTTCTTCCTGCAGCTAACGGGCTGGGCTGCTGCAAAAGGTGGACTGAGGAGATTGCCCCTTTTCGTTTAGGTTCGAAAATTAAGCCTCAAAATACCTCGAAAGGGCAGCGAAACCTTAGGAGATATTTTGAGTAATCTTCACCAATGAGAATAATAGTGACTTACAGATAATTTTGGCATGCTTTCAGATGGTTTTTAGGCTCAGCATGAGTGGCATGAGGCATGGAGAGCAAAACCAACATGGGTTTAGCACTAAGAGAGAAATTAGGCTTGGTTTATGAGGAATGAAAGTGTTTAAGTAAGGAATGGGGTGTTTTGTGAGGAATTTTGGCTAGAGAAAGAGAAAAAGAGAGACAGGGTTCTTCCAGCAGCTACCAGAAGAACAAATTGGAGAAGAAGATGAACAGTGCACGAATCTAAGTTTTGCAAGATAGAGAGAAAAGCTTGCTCTCTGCAGGTTGTGAGTTGTTTTTGTTGGGTAGGGGAAGGCTCAATTTATAGCTGCCGGAAATCACCATTTTTCAAGAAACCCTAATGGCTCCTTCTTACTTTGGCTGAGATTTTCTTCCTTTCTCCTCCCCTTCTCTGACTTCCCTTTCTTGGCAAAGATGGCTTCTGTCTATCTTCATGAATTTAGGAGATTTTGGGGGGCTCAACATCCCTCTTTCCCGCGGCTGTGCAATGAGGGCTTCCACTCTTGGTTTGCTGTTTTTCTTCCTTTTCTTTCCTCTTCCTTGGCTGAATCTGATGAAGGAAAGGAGGTGCAAATGTATGCTGGTCCAAGGGATGCCTCTGACAGCATGCAGGATGGTATTCATCGGTTCTTTGGATGTCTCTGGCTTGGGACTGGTTTCCAGCAGCTTACTTAAGGAGCCTGCCATCTACTCCTTCACGTGTTCTCTGTTTTTTCAAAAAAAGGCTGAAGCTCTTGTGGGCTTTTTTGGGTTTTCCTAAGGGCCAAGATGGCTTTCTAAGCAAATGGGCTTATTGGGCTTGATTTGGGCTTATTATTATTTTTGGTTGGGTTATCTCTTGGCTAGGTTATTTTTGCTTGGGCTTTTGGGCTATTTTTCTCTCTTGTGCTTACCCACATGTTTGGACCTAAGAAATGGGCTTGAGTCTCGAGGCTCCCAAGCAACCCGAGACTTTCCATTTCTTGGTCCATCAATGGGCCTCATGTTGATTTATTACCATCCATGCCACAACCCACTCAAGCAAGCCCCGGGTCTTTTTTGAGTGGCTTGGGCCCACTTAGGCTTGTAGCGTGGTTGGGTGCGAGATAACGGCACGGCATGTTGCTCGGCATATTTTACTTTATCGCCCTTTTGAAGGATTGTTTTAATTTTTTAGCATGATTATATTTTATCATAGCACGATAATTTGTTTATTTGGCGTGGCGTGTGGGTTATAACTTGCATGCGATAGATCCCCTTTTTCTTTTCCCTTATGAAATATTGTATTGGGCTGATAATTGTTCGGGCCCAATCCATGGATTTTTTGGACCTCAACACACGTCAACCAACTTGCACGTTTTAGGGTCTTTCCACTTCCTAGAAAGTTCTGAAAAAATATGAGAAACGTGGTGTAATCTCTAAGCTTTCCAAGCATATATCACAGGCCACTAGGAAAAATTAGAAAGGTCTTCAAATCTTCAATCTTCCACAGCAGTGCAGTTCTGACGGGATTTTAACTTGGGGTGTATTCAATTAGGATTGTATACAATTTTGAAATTTTTTTTTAAGTGACAGATTTCCTGGAATTGTATAATTCCTATAGGTTTTACCTGGATTTTTACTAAACTTGTGTAAAGTTTTATTATAGAGTTCCATACTTTCGTATGAACTTTTGTTATAGATTTAGATCTATTTGCATAGACTTTATCACGCTTTCTTCCCAACACTATTTTCTTTACCTAGCCAGTAGTCGACCATCCTTTCCTTTTCTTTTTTTTTTTTTTTTTTTTTTTTTTTCAAAAAATTCTATTCTTTTGTGCACAACAATGAATTTCCCTTTGAAATTTCCACAAGCTGGAAACTTTCAACCAATAATCATCAACGAACAGTAACAAACAAGAACAACCATGGAAGAAGAAGGAAAACCAACAAGAATATTGAGAGAGCGTACCTTTGAAGAGTGGTTCGTCTTTTGCAGAGAGAAAAAAAAAACACGTCGCATGAAATCTTTGGGGTGGAAGTTGGACTTATGTTGGCCCTTATTATTTATACCTAAACCCTACAAATTCTCCAAACTCCAATACTTAATTAAATCCTTCCATATCTATCTCCTTTTGAATACAGGTAAATTTATTTGGATTTTTTCCAAGTCCTAATTGAATACACCCACATTTAGATGGACATTTTAAAAGTTCAAACAAGTCTAGATTGAATACACCCAAACTATTATAGACTTATTAAAAGTTTATATAAATCCAAATTGAATACACCTAGATTTTTAAAATCTTTTTAAACGCTCTAGAATCCTAATTGAATACACCCCCTAGGCTGTCTTGACTTGCAAGTCTGGAGCATTATGAAACTTTGACACAATGATCTTCAATGTCTTAGGTTTCTTCTTTAATTGGCCTTGTGCTAAAATTCATTATAAAAGTTGATTTTGAGTCGAAATCCTTACAAGAGCGCAGAATAACTTAAAATAAGGAAAGTAAGGTAATAATGCTATTTTTAATTAACTTTCCCTACAAAAACTAAATATATGAGGTATAAAAATATAGGAAATAATGCACTTATCAAACTACCTCAAACCTATCTTATGCTAGTCCTCGAGTAAAATCAGAAACAAAAACAAAAACAAAACAAAAACTTACTAAACCACTTTCACAGGTAAACTCAATGGCACTTAGCATGTGCCACAAGCCGTTAAACCTCTAGGTGTCCATAGTAGGAGGAGTTGTGTCTCCTGAGGGGTTACCAGTTATGATACCCACAAACTTTTTACTACAAAACAAAACCGTTATAAACACCACTTTAAACAAGCTAATAAAAATCAATGCATGCCAATCACATTTGCATCACTAAAGCTAGGCCACTTTTGAGTAAATTGCATCGTACTATAACGTGTAATACCAAAATTCATAACATCAAAGCTTAAAGATAACCACACTTGGACGCCATGGAATTATTTCGCCTTGACTCTATCCTCACCGGATATCACTCTATTTTTTTCTCTCGGAATCCTAGGCTTACACTCAAATGTCACATATATGTATGAAGTTATGTAATGGAAATCAAAATTTTAACACATATACTTAGCTTGAAGAAGGACAATTTCTAAAAATAATGCCTCATGAAAAGAATCAAATACTAAGAACTAGAGTACATACCCACCTCCAAGCAAGATTTTAGAAAAGATCAGTTAGGTCTTCTACTTAGGTTGTAATGAAAGGTTAGGCTAGGGTTAAGAAAGAAAGGAAAGGAATAACAAAAACTTAGGACATACCAAAGCATTATTCATGATCACATACACGGCCCGCTTCTTTTGAACATTTTGTAATACTCAACGTTCAAGAATTGTGCATATTTCCTACTACGTTTGGAGTAATTTTGAAAAGAATTCACGATCAAAACATGGCATATACGTCTCTATTAGCAAGAAAAAGTAATAGCTTTAACTAGATTTCGTGATGACTCAATCCGCGACGAATCCAAGCCTCCATGACGCCGTGGCATGATGACAACCGCCACTTTCCACTGTCGAGGCCATGACCAAACATCCCAGTAGCACCGTGGCTTCCTCCATGGTTCTAGCCACTGTCCTCCCTTTCAGCTCCGCAGTCAAGTCATGGTCCTGCGACTAGCACCACCTTGCAGTTGATGCACGCCACCGTGGCCGAGTCCACCTTTCAACCACACAGCCCTATGCTCGGAACAAGCTTGCTACCACAAGTCTTCAATGCTAGATCCAGCAATGTCCACCATGACGTCGCCATCCATGGTGGTCCAACCACTCACGGCAACCCCGTTGCAGCCATATGTCATGGCCCGATCTTGGAGCCACATCATTCATTCCCTCTTTTGCCGCTACACTCGACATACGCTCCTGTCTATACCCCAACAAAACCCTATCCCCTTATGCAATTAGGCTTCACACAATTCTCTCCTCCTAGTCCACGAAGTTAAGCAAGCCTAGTCTTAGAGTTGACCAGATGACTCAAAGAGTGGAGGACATAGCTCCTCAACTAGATTAACTTGGTTGAGACATTGACCTTGGACCACAAGGGGAAGAGAGAATGATGAATGAATGCACTCGCAAGCCGTTTGAGAGGTCCCCTGCAAGTCGAGTAGGAGCAAGCAAACAAGGAAAAGGATAAGAGTGTGTTGCTCAGCACATCGACATGTCGCAAGCTTCTAGAACCTTGCTCAAAATAGATCAAGTCTCCGATCTAGATTAAGTATGAGAATTAACATGCACGAGAGGTTGGGCCTACGATTCTTTGTTCACCACCGCCCGAATCAAGGAGGGTACCGACGTGAATTGTAGGCCATGCGAGCAGAAGATGTTGAGAAGCTCGTGAATGACTATCAAGACTTGAAGATTGGAGGAGATTTCAAAGATGCTCTGCGTAAGGAGGTGGACCTAATGAACTTCTAACCATTCACCACCGAGATTGAACAAGCGGCTCCACTAAAGCGATTCTCAGCTCCTTCTTTTACACACTTCAAAAGGGATTCCGATCCCAAGAGCCATTTGAAGCACTTCAAAATTTTTATGATTCTCTATAAGAGCAACTCCACCCGTTGCCCCCAGCCTTGGTAGGACACGGCCCAAGCCTAGGCGCGAGCTTCCAGTGGGCCAAGCTTGCCCATGCAAGCTGTGGATCCCACCAGACATGGCCAGCCCGCAGGCTAAACCAGCCCGAGTTCAAGCCTAAAGGCAGTTGACGTCAGCCCGTAAATTCAAAAAAAAATTTAACGTTGGCGTGTGTACAACACATTCCAACATTAAAAAAAAATTCAAATTTCCTTGTGTTGACGCCAGGATGGTGTCAGCCCTGACATCTACCAACGATAACACGCCACGTGGCGTGTTCTGGTCATTTTTATTCACCATCTTATGGCATCTTCCATCGAAGCCGGAGGCACGTGAACAACCATGGAAGATGTTCTCTTGTGTGAGTGTTGGGTCCAAGTTGGTCATTGTCCGTTCACGGGCAATGAGATGAAATTCTCTCATATGTGGAGAAAAATTCATGCCAAATTTTGTGAAAGATCAGGTTCAGGTCGTATAGAAATGGCCTTGGGTAGTAGGTGGAAATTTTTTAATAAAGAGTTGGGGAAATTGAGAGATGCATTGGCAAAAGCGAGGGACAACCAAAGAAGCTGCGAAAATCTTGGCAATGAGGTAAATTATTTGTAATTTCCGTTTTATTAAATTTCATGTCCTAATTTTTTTTAATGTTTTTTTTTTTTTTTTTTTTAATGTTGCTTGCATTTTCAATATTCCTTTTAATGTTTCTTGCATTTCCAATATTTTTGTAATGTTACTTGCATTTTCAATTTTTTTTAATGTTTCTTGCATTTCCAAACATTTTTTTATGTACTTGCATTTCCAATTTTATGTTTTTTAATAGATTATGCAAGCACGAATGTGGTTCGATGCCATTGGGCAAGGCAAAAAATCATTCAACCATCAACAATGTTGAGAGGTGGTGAAAAATTACAAACGATTCAGAATTATTCCCATGGGTCTCACTGTTGTGTTGAACGAGACGTCACTCCATGATTCTGCAAAAATTTTGGAGCAAATTGCAAGGAACGGCGGCATGAGAATTGAATTAGACATGAAAAAAGATGCGGACGAGAAGGCAATGAATGAAGAATATGCAAGAGAAAGGGAGTATGTACGCAAACAAGACATTGAGAAGAAGGATCGGGAAACCATGGCCATGGATACAAGTCATATGTCCCCTGAAACAAAACAATTTTGGAAGCTAGAACGAAGGGATGTTATGAGAAGAAGACTTTTCCGTGACCATGGACCTAGCAACACCAATTCATTAAATGATCAAAACCATTAAGTTAGTTTGCTTGCCTTTTATTTCATTGTTTTTTAATGTTTTGTATTAAAATAGTTGTAAGACTTGTCTTTTATTTAAGTAGTAGTAATTCTTAATTAGTTGTATTGCTTTTCTTTAAGTGCATAAATAAATCATTCAATAAAATACCTTTTTATTCAACACATTGCATACATCAAACAAAACATAATTTTTTTAAAAACCCACAACCAAAGCATAATTATAAATAAAATAAAATAAAATAAAAAACCACAACCAAACCCTAACCAACAGTTCATGCTCCAGTGATTGTCCATTTGGTCCAATAGGCCTTTCATAAATTCTTATCAAGGCCATGTTCATGAGATCCAGTTCAAACACATCTGGAGCATCATAATCATACTCATCCTCCACAATCATGTTATGAAAGATGATGCAAGTCATCATAATGCTCCTCAGCACCTCCTCATCAAACACACGCACATCACCCTTAATAATGACCCACCTTGCTTGGAGGATACCAAAACACCTTTCGACATCTTTCTTGTAACCTTCTTGATAGGCAGAAAATAATTTTTCCTTCTCGGATGGGGATGTGGAATTGATTTGACAAATGTGGTCCACCTCGGGTAGATGTCGTCTGCTAGATAATACCCACTCCAGTAGACGGTATTGTTGATTTCATAGTGATATTTGGGGCTTCATCTCTTAAGACATAGTTGAATACCGGGGATTGACCCAGCACATTCAAGCTGTTTTGAGATCCGGCAACTCCGAAGAAGGCATGCCAAACCCATGTATCGAATCCAACAACAGCTTCAAGGAGGATACTTTTTTTCCTTTTCCTATTTCCATAATCTCCTTACCATGCAATTGGACAATTCTTCCATTGCCAGTGCATACAATTGATGCTTCCAATCATGCCTAGAAAACCTCGAGCTTCGACTTTCTGTAGAAGCCCGTGAAGGTCCCTAGGCGTAGGTTTGCGGAGGTAGTCCTTGGTGTAGAGAGTTTCGATTGCATCACAGAATCTGACCAAGCTCTCTAGAGTAGTGGACTTCCTCATCATAGCAATCTCATCCACCTGATCAGTAGATGAACCATACGCCAACATTCGTATAACAGCTGTAAGCTTTTGCTCCGAAAGAAGCCCCAAAACTCCAGCAGCATCACACTTTTGAACAAAGTATGCATTGTAATTGCAAACATCATGTATGACTTTATTGAACAAATGGGGTTTCATTCTATATCGCCCTTGAAAATCAACATTAGAGTACACAGAATTTGGGATAAAGTAATCTTTCAAAAGATTTTTACCCTGAGAATGCCTATGTCTGTCCACGTTTGGGCCACGGCTGACTTGTGAACCACAACGGTGGCCTTGGCTTTCTAGATCAAGCAAACCCACTACCACGGCAACTTGTTCATCTTCTTCTTGTTGCATCCTTTTTTCTCCAGCTGGTTTACACCTTCTTTCTTTAATTTCTCGCTCTTGCCTCTCCAAGCATCTCTTCATGTCTGACATTGAGAGTGGAGTATGAAATCTAAAATATGAGAAATGAAAACATAGAGAAGATCTTGTGCGAGAGGTATGAGCTGAGCCTCTGGTTTTATAGAGAGATTTAGAAGATAGAGATGACACATGGCGGATTTCAGAGGGTGGAAATCTTTTCTGAATTATTTGAAAATCTTACCCTAAAATTTTATTCAAAAAATTCATTTGAATTATGAGATATGAATTTTATAATAAATATTGACACATGGGAACCGAAAATCTTCTCCAAATTAATTGTTTAGGTTTTTTTTTATTTTAAAAAAAGTGAATAGTATTTGCCATTTGCCATGGCAATGGGTGGAAATACACCTTACTTTTTGCAAGGGCTGCCACTATTCACAGGAATAGTATCTTCCTTTACCTCCCCTTGCTCTTTGCCATGGCAAATGGGTGGAAGTGCTTTAAGGTCGAAGATGCGCTGATGTGCAAGGTGTTTGCAATGACCTTACGAGGAGCAGCTCAGGATTGGTTTCATACCGTGCCATCCAGGTCGATCAGCAGCTTTAAGGAGTTAGCTTTAGTCTTCACCAAGGAGTACACTTCTTATCGGACTATCAAAAATGACCTTGGCCACCTATTCAACCTGTGCAAGAAGCATAATAAATTCCTCCAAGACTACATCAAAAGATTTAAGGCAAAGAAAGCCAACATTGTGGGATACAATGACTGAATCTCATCATTTGCCTTCAAGAAAGGTCTACCGGCCGAGCACGACCAATATTACGAGCTAACTATCGCTCATAGCCAAACTCTAGCAGAGATCTTGGCGATTGTAGAACGTTATACCCTCTGGGGCAACGATCGAATCGCCAGAAAGTAAGTGTGCTAAGCAAGCCGACCCATCACCTAAAGAGGCAAGTCAGAGAGGTGATAAGTCTAGCAGTAGGAACTATGGAGGAAAGCGCAATGCACCATCCCAAGTTGGCACATCAGCACATGAAGGCTATACGAAGTTCACTATCTCGATACATCAAATCTTGGCCCAAGTAAAGGATAAGCCCTGGCTGACGAGACTACCACATTTGAAGGGAGATCCTAACAAAGGAAGTTTTAACAAGTACTGCGCATTCCATGGAACACATAGGCACGACACAGCCAATTGCCAATCTTCCACTCATCCCTTAAATGGCTTAGACGACTTGAACTTTCAGGAAGGAATGTCAGCAGCTCTTTGTTTCTCAGTAGCCGAACCAACTATGGAACAAACTTCTTTGTAGGGCAGATTGTAGTCTTTGACCTGGTTAGTTGGAGACTTAATTTGACTATCTCGCACATTCTGCATGCCGCCAATCTTCCTACTATCCACATCGACGAGCAGCTCTTACTTGAGTCTTCCCAACAGATGAGACCTTTTTTAAAGAAGACTTGATCACAACAAAAAGAAGTTTTGGCTTCTTCATTAGCGAAGACACATCCCTTGCACCCGAAGTTGTAGCTTCATCTTCGGAGGACTTGGCATCAACCTTCCTCTTTGTGGGGGGTTCAGTCGAGGACTCCTCTTGTTTGACAGGTAGATCATCCTAGTCCAAGTTATACTGCTTCCATCTCTCAACATCCTTGGTAGGGGACAGACCACCACCGTTCTCCCGATACTCGCTCAACAGCCAGTGTCATTTGCGAAACCTTGTAGGGATGTTCAAGGCCCGGCGGACCTTAGCCATGTTTGGCCCAAGATTTAATTTCTTGCTAATGTCATCCTTTACAAGTAGAAGACAGAAGTGAATCAATCACACATCTAAAAAATTCAAACAAAATTGAAGCAGATCAATAGAAGTATGACTTACCATCGTTGTAAGTGCGGGGAACAAGTGGACGATAGCCAACCTCACCTTCCCATCGCCTGCTGACCTCTAACACATCGACATGCCATACGTGATCTCCTTGGCTGAGATTGTCAAACAGCTTGGATTTTCATACACGGACCTAGGCATACTTCTTGTATCACCTCACTTCAAAGAAGTAGAAGAACTCTCGCGCAATCAGATCCAACTTAAAGAAACAGCTCAGATTTTCAAAACACATGATTTCCCGGTAGATGTTTGGAGTACATTGACTTGGGGCACACTCCATGAAACAAAACACCTTCCTAAAGAACTTCGACAAAGGGAATGTGAAGCCCAAGGAGAAGTAAAAGGGGCGGAATGTGATAATTCTGGCATCTGGATCATTCAAGTCCAAACGAGGTGCATACGGATCATTCTCCCATGTCCCTTCCAATCCCAAGACTGCATGCTAGCACAAATTTGGAAGAGACACATCTCATTGCCTTTTGAGAAATCTTCACCATTCCTAGTTCCAAGCTAGTTCCAAGCTAGGTCTGGGTACATACTTATTTTCGGTCTCATCTTTATAGACTGCGACTGGAAGATGGAGACCTTCAAGGGGATAATGACTATTCCTATATTCCTACTAAGTTTTTCCTCATTAAGTATCTTATAATTATGTCTACTAGTACTTTGAATTATATTTCTCGTTTCTTAAGATTGTAGTATGATCCTTTGTGTGCATCAAGGCTCTTTCTTATCACAAAGGAATTCTCTTCTCTTTGAAAAGTTGAAAGTAGACAATGCTATTGGTCTTCCAAAGAAGTGGCATCACTCGAGACAGTTGCAGAGTCCTTATAGGCCTATAAATGTGGGTCTTCCTTGTAGGAAAACTATTGAAGGTGTCCTCTCCAAGATTTAGATGCCTCTCCAGGGCCTCTGCCTCATTGGGTCAGGTTGGGCCTTTTCCTGTTGTTTTTGAAGATGTTCGAGTAGACGAAGGTGACTCTCATGCTCCTCCTCTTTCTTCATGGAGGATTGTGTCTCTGCTAGTGGCATGAGGGTTCTACTAAAAAGAAATTTTTGAGGAAGGCGGTGGGCTCCTTTGTTGAGTGTGCCGTTGTAGTTGTAGTTGGACAATGTATAATTTTTTATTTTTTATTTTTTATTTTTGAGAAATTCTAGGATTGCATTCATAATTTTGCCAAAAAAGTCATTAGTCACAAAAGGTCATTACAACAGAGCGATCTAACATTAAAATTAAGACAATCTAGGGCTCCTCCACTAAGGATCAAGCAGGATCAAAGAAACTCTAGCATAGGCAACTCTACTAAGAGTGAAAACTCATAACAAAAAAAAAAAGATAAAGCTTGAAAAAACCAAGCATACAACAAAACTCTCATAGAAGAGATGTGGAAAGCTCTCACAATGGAGAGGTGAAATAGTCTCACAAAAGGAGAGGTGAATGATAAGTCACTTATATATCATTATTTATTTATTGTTTTATAAATAAACTCTTATAAAGTTTATTGTTTTAGCATTTTAGAGTTCCTGAAAATACAAAAGCTGGAATATGTGAAGATCTCTATAAAACAATAAACTTTTGCATACAATATCTAAGTGTAAAGAGGAGATAAAAGCTAAGAGGTCAAGGGACGTTGTTTCAAAATTTGAGAGTTATTGGGCTAGCCAACTGTTTAGAACGAGTTGTTAAAGTCAGGGCATGTGCCATACGGGCAGATTAGAGCTGTTGGGCTTGAGGATGATTTTAGTCAAGTTTATGGGATTTGTCTTGGAAAATATTTGTCATGCAAAATGTAGCTGACGTCAATATCTTTTTAATGACATCTTACACGTTAAAGTTGGTGAAGAGTAAGCCCCCCAAAAGCCCAGAATCGGAATCTCTGCTATAATCCGCAAATAATTAGGAAAGTTGACTTGTACTTTCTATTTTTTATGTTTCCTACATGGTTAAAGTTTTTTTGGCCATTCTTGCCTTGCAAGTTAAGTTATTTGAGGTTTCATGACCCGCTTCATCTAGAAGAGAATACTGTGCTTGGCGTGTGCATGCGATGTTGTATTTCAAAGTTTTCTCTTTCACTCTTATGATATTATTTTCTGTGTTTTAATTATGTTCACGTGTAACTAAACTTTAATCTAGGGAAATGTTAAGCCCTAGCATGATGATATAGTACTGTACATTGATTTATCCATATATTAATGTGATTTTGTGTTTGAACTTTTAATTGCCGAGTTTTATACTGGCCATTATGGTATATGACTAAGTTATATGATGTAAAATTGAGTGAATGCCACACTGATTTTGAGTACGCTTCTTGCAATTAAAAGGTGTGATTACTTAGGGTAAATGCCATAGTATAAGAATTACATGATTTATTTAGTTACTTGTGCTCATCGTACTTTTCATGTTTATATCTAGCCTAGTGCCATAATGAGATTGCATGTTGTAGGAATTATTCTAGCCTAAATGCCATAGGGAGAATAAACGTAAGTAACTAATCTTCAATATGGAATTACCTCTTAATGGATGAATGAACAGAAGTGCTGTATTGGATTGCTTGTGGTGGACGCCTAGCCTTAGTATGTTATCTTCCTCATTTTCTCAATCAATTAATTATCCTTCAAAACTTCCTTTCCAATTTGTGTTTTATTTTATTCGCATTGAATCTTAAAAAATAATTCATTGATTTACAAGTTAAGTATTTAGTACATCTTTTCAATTGATTTCAATCCTAGTGGGAATGACCTCATATTTACCTTTGCTATACTAATAATAGTCTTGTTCTATTGCGAGTATATATAGTGTTTTAACCTCTATTTTGTAGGTGGCTAAAATCCTATCACAATTTTTGGCGCTGTTGTCGGGAATTGAAGATCAATCATTATTTAGTTTATACTGAGTACTTTACTTTGTTTATTTTGTTTAATTTTAATTTATTAATTAGCTGTGTGTGTCTTGTGTAGTTTATGGTGAGTAGTAGCACAAGATCCAAAAATCCAAATCTTGTCCCTTAGACTCTGAGCTTGAAAAAACAGCAAAGAAGAACGCAAGAAACAAAGCTCCATCTTCTACTAACAAGGATGGATTAATTAGTGAGTCTAAGAGTTCTACGCCTACTCCACCAAGACAACACACTACCTTAATGGCATTGACGATTCCGACAGCTGGCCAACCTCTGAAAAGCTCCTTCTCTGCCAGAGCTAACAATTCACCATCATGCATCGTTTATCCTAAAGTTGAAGAGGTAACTCAATTTGAGTTGAAGCTAGGAATTCTGAACTTGCTGCCATCTTTTCACGGCCTTCCCAAGGATGATCCTTATATGCATCTTAAGTTATACCATGAGACCGTGGAAAACATAATTATTAAGGGCATGGAACCTGAATGCGTGAATCTCAGGTTGTTTACTTACACTCTTAAAGACAGAGCCAAAGCGTGGCTCTACTCATTGCCTATGAATAGCATTACCACTTGGGACCAGCTCCAAGAGAAATTTTTGCTCAAATTTTTCCATGCTTCCAAAACACTAGCTAGCATTGAAGAAAGAGATCTTGACATTTTCACAAAAACCAGGAGAAGCATTCCACGAAACTTGGGACAGATTTGGTGAGTTATTCATGGTGTCCACATCACGGCCTAGATAGTGGGCTTTAGATGCAGATATTTTACGATGGTCTCAATGCAATTACCAAAAGAAATGTGAATGCTTCTACAGGGGGATCTCTAATGGAAAAGACAACTAGACAAGTCTATGAATTATATGATATGCTTGCTACAAACTCTCAGCAGTGGTCTGAAGATAATACAAAGAAAAAGAGGGTTTTTTTGAAATCAATCAAGCCACTCCCAATGTCTCAACTCAAATTGCTAGTTTGGAGAGAAAGATTGAAGCCATGATGCATGGTTCATCAATTTATGTAACCTCACAAGTATGCGCCATTTGTAATGAAGAAACACATGATATTACTCAATGCCCAAGTAAAGCCACATTTCCAAGGCTTGTTGAAGAGCATGTTAATGCTTTGAATACTTTTAATGGGCCAAAGAATGACCCCTTTTCATTCACTTACAATCCGATGTGGAGGAATCATCCAAACTTTTAATGGGGAGGACAACAACAATCTCGCTAGCTTCAGCCATGCACAAGTCAAACTCAAACATCCCATGTAGAAGCAAAAATATCTACTTTGGAGCAAATGATGGCAAAACAACAAATACTCTAGAATGGCAGCAATCTACAATGGAAGTTGTGACTTAACTATTGCAAAATTAGAGTGCTTCTGTTTCAAAGTTGGAAATTCAGCTGGGTCAGTTAGATAATCAGGTTAATGATCGTGAAAAAGGGAAATTCCCTAATCAACCTGAACAAAACCCAAGAAATCAAGAGCACCTCAAGGCCATCAAGACGCTCAGAACGGGAAAAACTTTTGACAATAGGCCGAACATTGAATTTGAGGAAGAGGAAGCTCATATTGAAAGAGGCATGCAACATGTGCCATCCAATGCCACAGCCGTGACATCACTTGTGCCAAATGCTATGTTGGAAGCGCGAGCCCTTACGCAAGAGCCCAACTCTCATGAAAGCAATGCCTGGGATTTTGGTACCTTGTTTGCACCCTCTAAAAAACCACCATATACTCCGCCATTGCCTTTTGCTAAGAAAAGTTAGTGTGCTACTAAGGACCAACAAATGTTGGATTTCATGAAGACACTTACTAAAGTGCAAATTAACCTGCCACTACTTGACAGAGCATGAGAAGGTCATACTTACAGTGCAATGTAGCGTTGTGTTCCTCAAGAAACTACCACCTAAAAAGCTAGATCCAAGGAGTTTTACAATTTCTTGCACAATTGGAAATTCTCATTTTGAAAAAGTTTTAATTGATCTAGGAGCTAGCATTAATTTGATGCCTTTCTCAGTTTTTCATGAACTAGAAAAAGGTTAACTTGAGCCAACTTCTATAACTTTGCAACTTGTAGATAGGTCGGTCACTTACCCACTTGGAGTTCTGGAGAATGTCATCATCAAAGTGGACTGGTTCTACCTGCCAGTGTACTTCGTGGTCTTGGACATGGAAGAAGACAAGGATGTACCTTTGATATTTGGGAGACCTTTCATGGCCACTGCTAGAACCTTAATAGACGTTGAAGAAGGCACCCTCACCATACGCATTATGGATGAATCAGTGGTTTTTAAATTGTTTGATGTTTCCAAGAAACCACACAATGAAGATGAGTGTTTTCGCATTGAGGTAGTGAAATTTGCGTTCTTGAGAAATTCAACTTCATATATTATTCAAGCTTGCCTCACTAGACCAAAAGAGTGCTTTAAAGGGGAAGATGACATGTTAGAGCTCATTGCCGCACTTGACAAAGCTCCAATTCAGTATCCAATTAGGCGCCATTCCTTTGAAGCTCTTGGTCCACCAAAGCCGCCCCTCCCACCTTCCATTGAGCGACCACCAAGGCTGGAACTCAAACCATTACTAGTTCATCTTAAGTATGCGTATTTGCAAGCCTCAAACACATTACCAGTAATCATTGCAGCAGACTCGAATGAGACTGAGGATAAATTGTTGAGGTTTCTGAGGGAATACAAGACAGCCATTGGATGGACTATTGCAGACATTAAAGGTATTAATCCCGCCCTGTGTATGCACATAATACTGTTAGAAGCATATGCTAAACCTACTATTGAAGCTTAAAGGCGTCTCAATCCCAATATGGAGTAGTAAGAGCTGAGATGATTGGTCGAGGATTCAATTCCTTCCAACGTAACAAAAAATAAATATTACGAAGTTTTACAACAATGCTATATTTTGTAAATGCAGTGCATTCTTACACCTTGACCTTAGTAAATTAATTCTAACAAATTCATAAGTCGCCAAAATAGTATATCTGCCTGTGTTACAACTTACAGAAAAAATGAAAAATGCTGCAGAACGCTGCAGAATGCGCCTAGCATTACAATGCAGTTACAGAATTAATGAAATTTTGTACTAAGCTTGTGAGGAAGGCTCCCAATTTAGTTTTGAGTCTTGAATCAAAAGAATTAATCAAATCATAATAAGCTATGGGATGACAACAAGACCTCTCTGCTTCGCATCTCAGACGAACTGTGTCGGCATGGGCAGGTAACCAGGCTTATGAGCTTGAAATGACATCAGTTGTGGAATCAACATTCTGTTTCCCATTGCCAATAATAAGACTACTCAAGGGGCCACTAAATTCCGACCCATAGATGTGACCCATTTTAGCACGTTTAGTCTCTAAATACCTCTTGTTCTCCTTAGTAATGGGAGTTACTAATGGTATTCTGCCCGAAACTGTTAAACCATAACCCCTTAGCCCAACATACTTGGAAGGGTTGTTTGTCATCAGCTTCATTGTTCGAACACCAAGGTCCCTTAGTATCTGCAATGAATAAGCCAATAGTTCAGTTTTACCAAGAGAAAGGTACTCTTGAATATGCAAGTATTTGGGGTTTAAAAAGATAGTCACAGGATAAAGTTCACTGTTCTATGAAATAATAAAAAGATTCATCGAGGCAAATAGCATTTTCTCAACTAATTTACTGTAGGAATTCCTTATAACTGAGAGTCTCTGAGAGTAAGTTTTTCCTTCAAACTTGTAGAAACCAACATTCATTCAACTCTTGAATGCAATACGAGATCTATTATATGTTGCAGAACAAATGACTTGTCAATATTCATCATAACTACTCCTCTACGTTAAAACTTTTGAAATCTTCAAATTTGAGTTTCAACTATCCAATAAATTTAACAGAATTCATGCAAGATAAAGACCAATACTTAATTAAACAACATTATGATGAGATCCAAACCTCTATGGCTAATAAATTGATTCGAAATATCAAAACTTACGCATGTAATTAGAGGCCAGACAGAATCAACACTGATTGCCGAGCAATCGAAAGCTCAATAAAGAAATCTCAGTTAATTTGTTACCAAATTGAAACAGTAATTCAGTCTACTTTCAAAATGCCTGTAAACAGAATTTCTACTAGGAAGTACCTGGGCACCAATGCCATATTCTCGTGAGTCAACAGGCAACCCCAAATCCTCATTGGCTTCAACTGTATCACGTCCAGCATCCTGTAGGTTATAAGCACGAAGCTTGTGACCCAAACCGATGCCCCTTCCTTCATGACCACGTAGATACACCAGGACACCCCTGCCGTTAGCCTCAATCTGCCGCATTGCAAGTGCGAGCTGTTTCCCACAGTCACATCGGGCCGATCCAAATATATCTCCTGTGAGGCATTCTGAATGTACTCTCACTAGAACATCTTGTCCGCCCCCAATGTCACCCTGCTTATACCATAAACTTAGTTATAAATTAAACATTACTATCGTATTGAAAAGAAAAAGAAATTATGGATCCCGTATTCAGGCGAAGGATCTAACAGGACCAGATTGGCCTAGGCTTCAGACATAATTTCATTCTGGTCATCAGGTAACTTTGTCTACCAGCTACACAACTATTTTTGGTATAAAAACTCTAGTATTCTAGTATTAAAAGTGAGTGCAACCAATAACTTTGTTTTACATTGTAACTGAGATAAACAAATTAAAAATAGATTGAATATCAACGTAACAAACAGTGCTTACCTTAACCATTGCAATATGTTCAATCCCATCTAAGATGGATCTATAACAGTGGGCTGTGAATGGTCCCCACATTGTAGGTATCCTTGCAGCACCAGAACGATCAACTAATTTGTCTCTCTTCCGCCTATACCTGCCATTGTCCGAGCACTGGATCAGTTAAGTCGTTTATGCTTTAATGAAAATGCAACACCATAACAAATAAGATGGAAGGTAAGTATAAAATTGAAAAGAAAATAGTTGATACATGCATATATTTATTTATACATTGACCTGAAAAAAGAATAGGGATCAATGAATCTATGAGATGAGTTAAAGCATGAGATAAGATGTTTGTTCTTTATGAGCTATTGCATAAATATATATTGCGTTGAAAACACAGGTGAAATGTAGGCTTTCATCGAGCTATTAAACATTACTGCAGGTTAAATAATTCTAGCTATATTTAAAGTCGCAGGAGAAAATGTAGGCTTTCATGGAGCAACTGCAGTTAACTTAGTATACAGTAAATTTTGTCCAAAAGTGTTTAATAAATTTACCTTATTAAATCAGCAATGGATACAATTTTCAAATTCTCCCGCTGTGCAAATTGGCGAAGCTTTGGTAATCTAGCCATTGAACCATCATCATCAACAACCTCACACAAAACAGCAACGGGATCCAATCCAGCTAGCACGGTAAGATCAACAGATGCTTCAGTGTGTCCAGCTCTTTTCAAAACACCACCCTCTCTGTACTTCAGTGGAAATATATGACCTGGGCGGTTGAAATCATCAGGTTTTGAATCTCTAGAAGCAAGAGCTAAAACTGTTGTTGCCCTATCACTTGCAGATACCCCTGTGGTTGTACCATTTTTTGCATCCTAAAACAGTTATTAACGCAAAATCAAAGTTGAGAAAGAGTTAGATAAGTACACAAATGAAAAACATCAACAACTAACTTACAAAACCTTCCATAAAGCACAACACTGCAACTGAGTCCACTGGGAATATTGTTAGTGGACAATTCAGGTAAATATCCTAAACCAGATAGTTTAAGCTTTTTAATGGGTTTGTTATTGTACTGACTGTTGTGGTCATTGATTTTCTAATATATGTTAGTACATTTAACATTCAAGTTCAAACCTATGATACATTGGCATATTTTCTAACATATTCATTCTGAACAAACTGCATTGTCTCAGCACTGTCTCTTCAGAAAGAGAACTAGCGTATTATCATTGTTTTCTTTTTCATGATAAGATAGGAGAGCTCAAATTTTAAAATTGCAGGTCTGCCTTGCTGAGATGAGGAATTAATCTGTTGTAGCATTAGAATGTCAAATAAGAGATCAACATTAAGTCATGAAATTACAATATTGAAAGGAAAAGTTAAAATTTTCAAATAAAATGTCAAATAATAAGAATACTTACCACTGTCACAGTGAACGCTGTTCGAAGCTTCTCATCATTATCCTTTTGTGTTACCATTAGAGGTAATTGCAACCTCTCCAGATCTTTTCCATCCATGCTCACGCACACTATTCCAGTGCTATGCTTCACGATAAAAGCCATAGCTTCAGGTGTTGCTAGTTGCGCTGCCATGATCAGATCTCCTTCATTTTCTCTGTCCTCGTCGTCTACAACCACTACCATCTGCAATAGTAATTTCAATTACTCATGGAAATATACTTCAAAAAAAGGTGGACAAACATAGAGTGCCATGCCACTGTAAGACAAGAAAAAAAGCACATAAAATAAGCAACCTTTCCTTGGCGAATATCTTCAATGGCCTCTGGGATGGAAGCAAATCCTTTTGTGGGGCAATCCAAATCAAATTCATCATTATCAACTGGAAAACCACTAGTTGTTGGAACAGTATCTGCTGAAAGTGTTCCAAATGCTACTGCATCCGGCTGTATCTCAATCCCAACTGACTGATCATCAATGAGAGTACTATTTGTCACTGCACCATTGCCGTTAGTATAAACAAGGTCACCATCTTCAGACACCATTGTAGCTCTAATTCGAGAAACCCCCTTATTACTGAATGAAAATTTACTACCCATCTGGATCGAGGCTATACTAGACGTGTTCCCATTAGACAGAGAAAGATTCAGAGTATGCAACCCATTGAACAATTTAAAATTTTTGCATGCCCTACACAAAATAGAATGCCAATAAGTACCAAGAGATGAAAATAGTGGTAGAGAAAGGATAACACGAAACATAGCAAAATGGTGTGAGTAGATTGTGTAGCTAACACAAATAGTTGAAGAGATTAACTAGATAGGAACTTCTCAGTATATAAAATGTATTCGAACATCTTTTATGAAGAGAACCAGTTGTTGAATAATCCAGGCCTTAAAATAAGTCTATCATAAATTAAAGTTTCTCCTAAGAGTTATGGCCCAAACAATCATCAAGTATATTGCTTTGTTTATGAGATAGGAAAAGAAAAAAAAAGTAACATACACATGAATACTACAACTGTATTTACACTATTAATCGGTTACATTAACGTAACAGTTGAAACGTTCAATCCTTAAAGGGCCCATTTGGATATGTGTTCTGCAAAAAAGTGCAGTCCTCAGAGTTTATATCTCAAAACCAATCTTAGCAAAGCCTTTGAAAAAGTTTTTATTTGCCAGTATATCAGAAATGGGTAGAGCTTTATGATATTATCTAATTTTGTTTCCTTCAAATTGAGGACACAACAAATAGTCAAAATTTTGTTTTTTCTCAAAAGAAGGTTGTCCAAAACTATTTCCTAAGCAGAAAAACAAAGCTCCCAATTTTTTCTATTATTTTGTAACTTCCATTATCTGAGCACTTAAAACTAATCGAAATGTTGGATCTGACCAACTAAAGAAAATTCCTACTCATACACAACAACAATCACAAATAAGAGTTCTTAAGAGGCAAATCATATGATACGACAAACATATGGTAAACAATGAAAAAATAATAATAGCATGAAGTATACAGCTAAAAACATAAATAAATAAAAGTTCAAAGAATTAAGCAAAGCATTAGCATCTTGCCATAATCCAAGTCCACATTTGATGAGCAAATTTCAATCAAACAAGACATCTGTAGAAGATGTAAAGGAAAATAGCTACAAAACATCAAGAACACAAAAACCCAGATGGGTTTTAACTTAGAAGATTAATACAACAGATAAAAAGCTGAAGAAATGAAAGAAAGCTCACTGAGGTCGTGAAAGGGGAGTTGTAGAAGGGCATGAGACGTTGATGGAAGCCATGGGATTGTTGGAGAAGCCTTGCCAAAGCCCAAAATCAGACTCTTTTGAGACCTTCCCACTAAAATGGCTCTCTCTGGATTATAGGATGAAAGAAGATGAAGCAATACGAAGGAAGGTGGACAGGGAACAGACCACGAAGCAATGGCGATTTATATAGAAGGGAGAGGTTTGTTACTCGCGGGTGACGAAGCTTTGTCCCCAACCAATCAGAAAACAATAACACATCACATGGTACGAACTTTCTTTTTCAATTGAATAAAGATGTTGATCTCCTCGTTGATAATAAAAAATTTATAAAATCCCTAAAAAAAAATTTTAATTTAAAATTTCAAAAAGGCATGATAATATTGGAAAAATAACTCATCTATTTATTTTATTTTCAGATTTTTTATATACAAGCGATACTGAGTAAGGGGGAAATTGAACCTAGGACATTAAGTGCATAAGTAATTGTTATTAACCACTTGAGTTACAAGTCCTTGTTTTTTCCGAGTTTTTAATACCAATAATCTCTTAATTTGCTCTCGATTTACATTTTGATCCTTGAAATTCAATTGAATACAATTGAGTTGAGAGGCTATAAACAACCATTTTTAAAATTCAAATATAAAAATGCGAACCAAACACAAATTCATGACTTACTCTTTATTTTATTTTATCCTAAATATGTATAGTTGGTCACTCCGTGGTCAATATTGTGGGCTCACTTATTTTATTTGTTAATTATTAAAAGAAAAGGTGGATTCCATCCTGGGAGTCCCACAGTTTGTTTGGGAGTGTTTTATTTTTTATTTTTTTATTTTATTTTTTTAAGGTCTCTCCTAATAAAAAAGTCGATAAATATCTATAAACTCACACACACGCCGATGCCGGGGGTCGAGCCTAGGACTGCTCCTAGCAAGGGGCAAAGCCCCAACCACTGCACTGTGGTGCCGATCCGCCAGTTTGTTTGGGAGTTTATGTTATCTTGGATAGGGAAGACAGAAAAAAAAATTGAGATTACCGCACAAAATTAAAAGAAGATGCATTTGATGCAAATAAAAGAAACAAGAATATGCACATGATTGTTGGAAATTGAAATAGGTGAAACTTATTTGTGCATATGCATCACGTGTAATACACGTCTCTCACATCTTGTGGTCTATAAATTTATAATGAGATTGACCTTTTAATTGCTTTAACAAATGCTTTGCAACGGCTCTCACGCTAGTACACTAAAAAGTTGACTGTTAGATAAATATAACAATTTAAAGAAGAACACCCTCCTTCCTTGAACCCAGTGGCGGATCCAGGATTCAAAAGTCAGGTAGGCGAAACTTATCTTAAAAACTCGACGGTACGAATGAATTTCATTCATAAAAATAAAAAGATTACACCTAGTCGGGGGAGAATTTATCAAAAATAGCCAAAATTTACCCATCACTTTCAAAAATGTCAGTTTTTATAAAATCTTTCAAATATAGTCAAAAACTCATCAAAATAGACACAAATACCCTTAAAAATTAAAACCGACATAAACCTAAAAAGCAAAACTACACACAAAATTTGGATTCGCACGCACGTTTGTAGCCTTTGGTTGAACTATTGCTGAGCACCCACGTCTGTAGCCTTGGTCTGAAGCAATTCCAACACTCCCTAATTCAACTTACCGATTTGTAATCTCATGTTTGCTTTTCTTTCTCTCTCTCCTTCCATCTTTGTTTTAATTCCATGGTTTTCTGTTGGCCACTTGAAATAGTTTATTCAACTTATTAATTTTGTTTGTTGGATTGGATTTGAAGATAAAGAACTTATTAATTGTATTTCTTTTTCGATTTGGATAAATAAAATATTTCCAATTTGGGTCTGCCTGGATCATTGTAAATTAAATTAGGGAGTATTGAGGCTATACAGATGTGTTGCCCATTGGTATGGTTATTAAGTTCCTGATCAACTCCCATAGAGACACTCCTCATTTCATGCAATGACGATGATTTGTACAAATTTGATTATATGACCTTTATGTGCGAAAGAAAGAGTTTTTCAATGAGTTGAATATTCAAAACATAATTATTGAATACTAGTGTCTCTAATATAAGTTTTTAAGTTTCTTGGTCCTATTTACGGATATTTCCTCTCAGGTTGCTGCGATAAACACAACAATGACAGCTCTCACAAAGACAGTGGGTGTGTTCCCGAAGTCTTTGATAACAAAGTCTTTGCACATAGATTCAATACTTTGATAACATATCTTTTCATTTATCCTATCTCGACGTCTTTGCACATAGATTAAATACTTAGACATTTTCAAGATAAATGACGTCACCTAAGAAGGAAGGTGAACAACTTGGTTTTATCAGCAAAGCTATAGTTCAAGCTAAAGTACAAACCCTCCTGGAGAGATTGTGGACCTTGGTAGCACGGGATCTCTTTGTAGATGTTGATTCTCGGGCCTTTTTTTTTCCATTAGCATGATCTTTCTTTTTAAGTTTATGTGGGTTTTAATTTTTAAGGGCATTTGTGTCTATTTAGGTGAGTTTTTGGCTATATTGAAAGATTTTATAAAAACTGACATTTTTGAAAGTGGGGGATAAATTTTGGCTATTTTTGATAAATTCCCTAGTCGGGGAGAGCATAATGAGATTTACCCTCATATATAAAAACTTAACAAAAAAAAACTAAAAAAACCAATTAATGCAATGCAACAAAAAACTAAACTATTTAAATCTAAAACTAAATTAAACTATTAAAAAACTTAAGATGCATACATTTATTTTAAGACAAACCCAATAGAAGAATACTTATTGGCCTTAGATATGAGAAAATGCTGCCAAGAGAGAATGTCCAGACTCAAGAAGAAGCTGCAAAAGATAATGATTTGGGACTGTCGATTATTGCACAGCCGAAAGGGAATTGGCTGCTTACTTATATTGCTTCCCCCCTTTTTCTTTTTTTAAGTTTGACTGGGCCATATAATATGTGGGTTGCTCTTAAGTTTGGGTAGGCATGGGTTCACACCATTACATGGGATGGGTAGGAATAGCTTTGCTTACATATTTTTTTTGTTTTTTTTTTTTTTTTTTTGTTTTTTGGAAAGAAATATTTGGGAGGCTAGCCTATCCTGCCCTTGCTGTAGAACCGCCACTGCTCGGACCCCTTCTCCACCAGTCACCTCTCCATGTCCTTTTTCTCTCTTCTATTCCTTCTACATAAAAATTTCCGATTTAATGATGGGTAACTTGTTGAGTTCAAATCAGGTTGAGAGAGAGAAAGGGGGACGGCATGGTAGGTGGGATTGATAGGTTTTTTAATATAAATTTGCCTCTTGCAGCTTTTAGAATTTTGTTAATGGTAAAATTAGGACTATATTTTTACAATGTTTCTAAACTACTATATGGATGGAGAGGAGGATCGAACTCATATGCAAAGGAACCGATATAGTAACTTGACCAATTGTCCTAATCCACATCTGCAAAATTAGAACTTAATTAAAAAGATGGTAGAGTGAGCAGTTGGAGTAGTATAAATACAATTTTCCTAATACTATATCAATAGATTTTTTATCCGTTGTGTGCCCCTAGATTTCGGCGAAATATATATATTATCTACAATTAACGGATGGGGTATGGAAGATGGGGCATGGAGGGTATTATTGATGCTATTATTGAGCTCTACTTTACCTCACTTCACATTGGGGTAGGGATGGAGAATGGGGAAGACAGGTAGGCTCAATACGTGTTGATTGGTACCCATGGCTAGACCTAGACCTAATCCAAGGACTAGTTAGTTAGTTTTTCTTTGGCGTTTGGTCAAGTTATTTTTCAATATTACGTATTCTTCTATTCTTTTAAATTGAATGGTCCAAAGTTTAGTTGGGTTTGATTAACACATTGTTAGTCTCATTCGTTTGTATCTTCAAATTGTAGTGAGCATACTTCCATATATATGCTACTAATATAACATAGGAAAAGAACAAAACTACTTAATCATCACATTTTATTTTGGTCCTTCCAAAGAATAAACGGGAATCATCATATAGATTACATTGGAAAAATTTTAACATTGACCTTGAACTTATGACTTTCTTCCGACCAATTTGCCCATACCGTCAAACTTGTCAAAATTTATTGTAGTTTTCTATTAACAATGCCCCCGGAATGGATGAAAGCAATCCTCAATTTGACATGAATTTGACAAATTTGATTGTAAGGGGTAAATTGGCACGTTTTGAAAAATTAAGGGAGATCATTATCAAAAAGAAAGCCCAAAGAGAAAAACGGAAGAAGGTCCTAAATTTAGGTGACATTGCCAAAATGGTTTTTGATTGTGCTTTCTAGACTTTTGTTGTTTGTTGGGTTCTTTCTAGCTAGGAGTCTGGTAGAGAGTTTTTCAAATAATTTCTGATTTTTCATCTTCATGCGTAGTAGTTTAAAGCACATTAAATTACAATTTTTTTATTATTTTTTTCAATTTACATATTAGTTTTTTTTTTTTTTTTTTTTTTTTTTTTTTTTTTTTTTTTTTTTTTTTTTAATCATTTTTTTTTTTTGATTACTTAGACCCTGAATTTAGCCCGATTTGATTACCTCAATATCCAAAATGGTTTCCGTAGTCCTTCAACTTCACATTTGTTAGGACAAATGATCATGTTGTCAATTTTGTTAACTTTTTCTATTAAATGTAGGGGCAAAATGGTATTTTTATATTAAAACCAAAAAAAAATAATAATAATAATCATATCTTTAAATCAAATAAAAAACCAACAAAAATAAAAATAAAAATTAAATTTTGGGGAGTAGGAATCGGGATAGAGGAGGGGAGAGAGAGTTTAATTTTAATATTTTAGTTTTTAAATTTTTTATTCATATTTTAATCTATTATCATATAAAAATACCATTTTGCCCCTGCATTTAGCAGAAAATTTAACAAAATTAACGGCAGGACCATTTGTTCTAACGAAACTGAAGTTGAAGGACCATAGGAACCATTTTAGAAATTGAGGTACTCAAATGCAAATCGGG